GATGAGATTTCTGCACGGATACAAAAGGCTCGATTGGCTTTTGCCAATTTGCGCCACCTATGGCGCCGCCGTGATATTCGTTTGTCTATTAAGGGTCGCGTGTACTGCACAGCAGTCCGCTCTGTTCTACTGTATGGCTGTGAAACATGGCCATTGAAAGTGGAAGACATGAGAAGGTTACAGGTATTTGACCACCGTTGCCTTCGTAGTATAGGACGTATTCCGTGGTGTCACCATGTGAGTAATGCAGAAGTTAGGTGTAGAGTTTTAGGGAGAAGAGGTAAGTCAGTCGACGAGGTTGTGAACCTTCATCGACTGAGATGGTTGGGACACGTACTACGTATGCCTAGTCACCGATTGCCTCGTCACACAATGTTGGCTGAGGTGGGTTCAGGCTGGAAAAAGGCCCGAGGTGGCCAGACTAAAACATGGCACCAATGTATGAAGTCTCTGACTGTTGGTTTAAGCCATGTAGGACGATGCAGACTAGGTGGTTGGGGTCCACGGGACAAGAGGAACCAGTGGTTGGAGACCCTAGGTGATATGGCTCAGAACCGAAGTCAGTGGCGCAGATGTATACACACATTATCCTCATCTTAACAACGCTATACCGAATCTCACTATTTTGTCACTCCTCTTTCCTTTCTTCTCATACTTTATATTTCTTTTGACTGCATTCACTTATCTTCATCCTTCACCTCACTACCTTTTTACTTGATGTGCTGATATGAGGTGTGGCAACTCGGACCGTTACGCAGTAATGCCTGGTCCTATGTTGATAATGATGATGATGATGATGGTGGCTTTTGCTAAATTACGCCAACTGTGGCGCCGCCATGATATCCGTTTGTCTATTAAGGGTCACATGTACTGCACACCAGTCCGCTGTGTTCTACTGTATGGCTGTGAAACATGGCCATTGAAGGTGGAAGATATGAGAAGACTTCAAGTGTTTGACCACCGTTGCCTTCGTAGTATAGGCCGTATTCCGTGGTGTCACCATGTGAGCGGTTCTCACAGGTAGGTGGCGGAATATTCCACAGGTTTTGTATACAGTTTAACATCCGAACGAAGCTTTGAGCTATCTAAAGCTTAGCGACTATTACAAAAGTCTTCGAGGCAAGGATCCTAACAACCAAATAACTGGACATCTAAAAATGGAGGTGAAGTACTTCGTGCTTTTTTAGGAAAAGACTGCTCTGACATTCTATTGTAAAATTGTTACAGAAGCAGTTCAGAGGGTAGTTGATTGAAAGGGGGAAAATGCTTTTCATATTTTATTGAGAATTACTGCATAAATTAGGCAATTTTTTGTACACGAATTCAAAAATGATACATACTTAAACAAGATAATGTGCTTCATAGGAATTCAGCAGTTCATAAATGGTTCGTGTATTCTGGACTAGTGTTCACTGAATATTATCTTGGTGTTAAGTATGGGAATAAGTACCGAAAAAAGCAGAAGAGTCAACCACATGCATTTTGCCCTTATGACTGCATACGATATGCGGCATATAGCTGCTTCAAAGTTGTTTAACTGGTAATGTGTGTATACATCTGCTCCACTGACATCGGTTCTGAGCCATATCTCCTACAGTCTCCAACCACTGGTTCCTCTCATCCCGCCAATCACAACCGGCTGGTCTGCATTGCCCTACATGGCTCAAACCAACAGTCACAGACTTCATTCATTGGTGCCATGTGTTTTAGTCTGGCCACCTCGAGCCTTTTTTCAGCCTCAACCTATTTCGACCAACATTGTGTGACTAGGCATACATAACACATATACTAACCATCTCAGTCGATGAGGGTTCACAACCGTGTCAACTGACTTACCTCTTCTCCCTAGAACTCTACACCTCACTTCTACATTACTCACATGGTGACACCACGGAATACGGCCTATACTACGAAGGCAACGGTGGTCAAACACTTGAAGTCTTCTCATATCTTCCACCTTCAATGGCCATGTTTCACAGCCATACAGTAGAACACAGAGGACTGGTGTGCAGTACATGTGACCCTTAATAGACAAACGGATATCATGGCGGCGCCACAGTTGGCGTAATTTAGCAAAAGCCACCTGAGCCTTTCATATCCGTGCAGAGATTTCATCGGCCACTGACCCACCAGGGCTGATCCTACTTCCCAGGTAAGTGAAGTGGTCGGCACACTCAACCACTTCGCTCTCTACTGTTAGCCGTGATACCGCTGAAGACCAGTTCTGGAGCAACAATTTGCATTTGGGTGGTGAGAACCGCATCCCAACCATTCTGAAGTTCCCACTCAAAGTGTTCAGAAGACTCTGCATCTTGTCAGAGTCTTCACTTAACAGGACTATGTCATGTCATCTGCATATTCTAGGTCTAACGAAAATTCTCCTGCGATTAGATCAACGTCTGTGTAATCAGGTGACGAGAGGGAGACCACCATAAGAATATCTATGATGAAATTGAATAAGAATGGAGACAGTGGGCATCTTTGACGGACACCACTCGATGAGCATAGCTCCATGGACATCTCACCATAGGCTCTAACATGCCGACAAGTGTTCGAGTAGAGAGCCTTCAATAAGGTGATGTACTTACTCGGTACGCCTTTCAGTGAGAGACATTGCCATAAGACTTCTCGATCAACGGAGTCGAATACCGCCTTCAGGTCGAGAAATACAGCTATTGTCGGGTGTCGGTAAGCTTTTCTGTGTCCCAGAACCTGGGGCAGTGTGGATATTCGGTCAATACACTTGCTGCCAGGTCTAAATCCTGCCTGGTTCTCTCGGGCTTGCTGTTCCCGAACTCCACTCAGGCGTTGGAGGATTATAGAACCTAGGATCTTGGACACTATGTTCGTCAGGCTGATTCCTCTGTGGTGGTTATCACAAGAGGACTTCTTGTCTTTCTTGAAGATTGGGATAATCAGTGACTTAGACCAGTCAGAGGGGATCGTATTTGATTCTCATATACTGGTTAACACTTCCGTTAATCTGACTAACAGCACCTTACCACCATCCTTGTATACCTTAGGAGTTAGTCCGTCTGGTCCTTCTGCCATTCCTCTTTTCTAGTTACCTTGAGATTTTTTGGACACGTTTGACACTTTTACGTCTTCGTATCTGTTCCTAGGAGGCACCTCTTACTTATTCGCTTGCAGAGGTCAACGTCTGGATTGTTTGGACGTGTAGGTAGCTGCTGCAGAATATATGTATGGCTTTAAAGGAAAGGAATCATATAGTCTAGAGGAATATTTTCAGCTTTTCTGTCACAGAAATGTAGTAGATCATGAATATTGCATACCATATTTTCTAATTACCAGGCTAATTCCGCCGTTGATCCTGCCGTGAATGATGCTCTTCCGATTAGTTGCATCATATGTCCTGTCTGAATGTTTCTGAGTCTTTTCATTAAAAATATGCGAATAAAAGATAATTATAACCTTTAAAGTTGAGTAATTTTGGGAAGACAGAAATGTGGTCGTTGTTTTTGAGATGTTCGATGAGTTTATTTGATGAAAATCAACTTAGAACCTCGCACACAGGTGCATTGGTTCAAGCTGCCACACTTCACAGTAGTACACAAGGAACCAGTGGATGGAAAAAGTGATATCAAAGGAGATAAAGTAGTGTGAGAGAATAAACAATCCGAAGATAAAGGTTAGTGCGATTAATATGGCTTTAAATGTCAGGGAGTGAACACATATGAACCATCGTGACCGGTTTCCAGTCGTTATCGAGAGTCCCCCACCACTGATTTCTGTCGTCTCCGTGACCCCAACCGGGCAGTCTACATCTCTCTACATGACTCAGGCAACAGTCAGCGGCTTCATAGACTTGTTCCACATCTTGGTCTACCTGCCCTGAACCTTCTTCACATTTAATCCAATCTCCTCTAGCATGGCATACTGAGGTAGGCGGTGGCTTGGCATGAACAGCACATGTCGAAACCATCTCAATCGACTAAAGTTCACAACCTTATCTTTCGTCTTTCCTGTCTTGCCTAGTACCCTTCGCCTTACCTCAACATTACTTGTGCGGTAATCCCACCAAACGCGAGCAATGTTACAAAGACATCTGTAACCAAAACCCTGTAATCGCTTCGTGTGTTCTACTTTCAACAACCATGTCTCAGCCGTAGAACAAGACAGAGTAAACTGCAGCACAGTATACTCGTCCTTTGATAGGTAGTCAGATATCTCGCCAGTCGGTGCTACAGGTGGCATATGTCAAACAGACCTGTATCCGAGCTGAGATTTCGTCAGCAACCAGCTCATTCGAGCTAAAGCAACTCCCCAAGTAAGTGAAGTGGTCGACACATTCCACCACTTCATTCCCTATCATTAAACTGAGGGTATTGCAGGAGACCACTCCCGGGACATCATCTTATACTTGACACGTGCGAAACGCATACCAAACACGCTTATATGTCTGCTTAACGCGCTTCTTTAAACCATTCTCTACATAAAATGTACTGAATACTTCATTAATTTGAGCAGGCCATAAGCAGAACAGTGTGTGAATCTGCTACAAATGTTAACTTCTGGGACTTTTCATGAATTGACAAATTTGAGGTGTCATTTTCAATCATTATTATTGTTATTTCTATTATTTGTCCCTTGGGTTCCTAGTGGAACATAGGGCTTCAGTAGCACGTCGCCATTTCACTCTGTTCTCTGCAGTCTCTTGAAGCTGGGTCCACTACTACCTAGAAGCTTTCATTCCTCCCTCACACCATCTCCCTCATGTCACCCTCCGACGCCCAACTCGTCGTTTCCCATTTGGGCTCCACTCGAGGGCCTGGCACAACCACCTTTTTAAAGTACTGTTCATAGTGATCATGTTTATTACTGACAAATGTAGTGAATAAACTAGTTTGGTGTTGGAAGGTAAATTATCCGTACTAGTTACGTCGATACTGCTTTGAGTGTATACTAAATTATTGCTTCTCAAGTGTTAGTTTCAGGACGTACCAACCGTGCTTTATTTCTCATTGCTTTTTTTCCAATAGGACGTGATCAACTGCCGTACACTATCCCCGGTTGCCAGGTGCAATCCTATGGAGCTATAAATTACTTGGAAAAAGTACTTTTGGAACCTGAGCGTTCTACTCTTGGGGTAAAATCATATTTAAAAGTTATCGTCATAGAGACTGGTTCTGAGAAGCCTTGGAACTCGAGGTATTGATTCTGTGACCAAATGGTTTCATCCTGACAGTTCCGGTGAATTGTGGCATGCCTGGTGTAGAAATAAAGGTTTGTATTTTTCAGAATGTCAACTTAGGCAAACCACTAAAGAAATATTTTAATTTCGTTAACGGAATATACCCATTGTATCACTGAAGACACGCGGAAATTGAGTGATTATTTACTTTTTTAAATGTTGAACACTAGATGTCGAGGTGATGTATTCTAATTACTCAAACATATTGCTTATATCATGTGAACCGTGTACTTTCAATCATTAGGAATTTGACTCGATCATCATGAAGTAAGATGACTGAGCTGACTAGCTAATTATAACTCATTTCTGTTGTCATTAACTATCCTACCGGATAGCCCACTCTAAAATTGATTTAACTCTTCTTTTCAAACCGCCTAACACAAAGCTGACCTATAGAGTAAGGGATTTCATCTGTCAAATCAACGAAATCACTTGACTAGTTCTGTATCGCTATAAAAACCGGCTTCCTCGGCAGGACGGTGCACAGTGTTTCCTGACTTTGTCGCGGAGTCGTAACCAGAGTGCTTTAATCAAGGGTTTATGTACTAAGGAATAGCGTATGAAGGGACGAATCACATCCAGAAAAGTTTCTGTATTTTAGGCCTAAGCTCGTCCGTCGTCCAAATTAAAGCAAGTTATTTGACAGAACGAAAGTGGGAAAAAGCCGGCACAATAATTACGTTTCACCCACATAACGGTAAGCACATAAACACAGTGAGCACAATATGTGTCGTAACTAACTATCGTTTCAAATTGTTGCATTTCACATCAGCCTATCAACGTTAATTCAACAGAAGCAATGACAAAAAGTGGAGTCAAGAGTTGCAATAAACTATGTAACTAAAAGACACTGAAGTAAAGAAAAACATACGAATGAGTTAATTTGAAGATAAAATGTCGATACATTTGAACCACTGACGTTGCTTTTAAGTTGTATAACCTTCGACCACTCAGTCTGCAGTCGATAGTAGTTGAATACCCAAACCCATCGCGAACCATTAAATGGTACACTTAGTTTTTAGCCGGCTTTCGAAAATTCCTTCAGCATCACATGTAGCCTAAAGTTTTGAAAGTTAGTTAGTCCTTTATCATCAGACTTTCTAAGAAAGCGAAGTGGTCAGTGTTTCCAACCACTGCACTACCCATTATCAGTGGGTATATCAACTTTGGTCAATCGTGAATCAATAATCCGCATTTCAAAAGAAAGAAACGCATTTCAGACGTTTTAAAGTTATCACCCACTATTCAAAATACTGGGTTGTCAAAGTCTTTGTGTAATACGGTTGTGCTGTCTGTTTCTCCAAGTCAGTTTGAGAGTTTCAATTGAGATGAATCTATGTGTCATCAAACGAATAAAAACTGACCTCCATAGGTAAGTCTTTAATAAGGTTTGCTAAAAAATCCCTCAGTGACAGGTTGTTCCTTATCAAAAATCCAGATACTCCCCTACAAGCTAAAAAGACTTATGTCGGTTACATATAGATACTCCAGCAAAATGTGACAGGAATAGTGGATTTGGTCTATGTACTTAAGACTTGATTTGAAACCTGCATACTTTCCTCAAGTGTATTGCTTCTCAGTTTTTGGGACGAACTACGCCCCATTCCTCTGTGGTCATCACAAGAAGGTCTCAGATGTTAGTAAATGTCGCAATGAATCATGCAGATTGGTAAGAAGGAATCTCCTGTAATTACTACACCTCCAATGAGTACCTCACCTAGACCAACGGTTCCGAACAACCAAGCTTGAATTCCTCTCCATTTTAGGTGATTCATCAAACATATTACACAGCGAAGTGGTATCTTTTACTGGGTTGTTTCAGACGCAATTTATTGTCCACAGTCATATCGAGATAAATTTGAGACATGGTTTATGTAGTTCTGTTTCGCCCTCATTCTTTCTGACGTAAATAGTAGGATTTTTCATATATCTGGGACAGGTGCCGAGTCATTCCTATTGCATGTATATGTTGTTGGTTCGATAATCGAAGACTCAGTTACTAATCTATCTCTCGATCCATCATACTAAATGTTAAGAACCTTCACCTTGTGTCCCATCCTGTTGTATGGTTGTACGTAATCACATCCATAGCTATGGCCGCTATTTTTTCTGGATTCATTACCTTACTGGGATTTGCGATTCTTGATTTGTTTTCCCCAGTTCAATAAAAAGACGGAGGTTATCTGAGAAATATGATATATTCGCGCAATTCATTTCGAACAATATGATCACACATTAACTTGTTAAGGTATTTTATATGAAAGGCCACAGGATTGACCCCAAAACAGCCTTTAGACCAATGTATAGGAGCCGTCAAGATCACATACTAAGGTCCATTGAAGCCTTAGCTATACGAAAGTTCACACCCCCTTTATGTATTCAAGAAACAATTTGTCCTTACCTTAAACCTACCTTGGTAACCTTTATGTCATTTTAAGGCCAAGGGAGGTGTGAAAATGTAATACTTATCCTTATTATCCTTATATTTTCTAAATCTTGTATTATCTTTATTTATCTTACTCCACACTATTTTAATCCTTCATATAAAATACCTTAACGAGTTAATGTGTGATCATATTGTTCGAATTTTGCGAATACATCACATTTCTCAGATACCTCCGTCTTCTTATTACACAATACAGATTCATCAAAGGGACTAATTGTTTCAAAATCTTGATTTAGCTAGGATTTTGTGCTTAGAATAGCCTAATTGACCCTGATCAACTGTTTTGACCTCATAGTTATTGCATGACATTCGGTAAACCAAATTAGCTTACCTAACTCGACCAATAGGATCTTTCTAGGTACAAAACCTATTTCCAAGTCAGTTTTTAGATTTAAGTTCCACTCTTATCCCAGCCTTATTGAGGATCCCACGCAATGTCTCGAAAGTTCCTTCTTTGTATGTTAACAGCGTAGAGGTTTTGAATTTTCTCTTCATATTGCCATTACTATCATTACTTTTAACAACTGTGTTACCACTAGTGTCATATTTTCCTTACAATTACTGACAAATTTATTGTCTGTGAAATTAGGGGGCTGTTTGTTGATGAGTAAGGTGACATTAATGTGTCTGGTTTCTTGTCTGAGATCTGTCTTACTAATAAGTATCTTGGCTGTTACACACATTTTGTCAAACCTATTTTAGCTAACAAATGTTCAGTCAATAAACATCCATACCATAGTTGTCATGAATGTCCTGGGAGAAGTTGAGCGCCGGTCCGATTCAATCATTATAAGAGTATATTTTTTTCATATAATCCCAGCGTGTTTAAAAAATTAAAAGATATCTCTGATATTTGTATTAAGCTACAGCTTCTTCAGCAGAATTTATGGACTTTTATTAATATCAGAATGACTTACATTCACCAGATATTTGATGTACTATTTGACTGCATATTTTGATATCAATAAAAATCCCCATATTCTACTGAAGAAGCTCAGACTTACTCAACGAAACGTTCAGAAATATCTTGTTTTGACTTTTTAAACACGCTGGACTTAAATTAAAATATACTTTTATAATAGGTTGAATTAGTTTAAAGTCTAAGTAACTATTCTGGTGTGAAGACTTTCGATAGACTGTATTGTTTAGACTCCCATCTTATTTCCACTTTATTCTGCAATGCAGCATCACTCATTCTTCTTCACTACTTTATAATACATAGGTGAATTAAACTGCGTGGACTACCGAGTTTCCATCTGTAAAGAAACTGTCTATCTGCTCCGATTTTAATTCTGTAAACATGTTGAAACCATATTTTCGAAGCGTGGCTAAATGTTTTGAGAGGTACCTGTTCGCAGATATCCATATAATATGTCTCCTACGATAGGAAATATTGGTGATTCAATGGCAACTTCTGTTTGTTTGTATATTTTATTCTGAAGATTAGAGACTGTAGAAGATAGGCATAGCTGTACTCCTAGCATAACCTCTTCTACTGGTACTTTAGTTCGCAGCGTAAGCTCATGGTCATTACTCAGCTAATTTACAGCTGCTTCCAGAGCTACTTCAATCGGTATATTAGTTTACTAACTAGTTACATCAGAACTAACCCTTTTTTTCACTGTCATCTGAATGTATAATATCTGATCTATCTATCCTTTAAGTCATACGGATTGGTAATTCTAGATTTGCAATTGATTCATAGATTTATGATTGAACCTAGTGCCATTGCTAAATATTTAGATAACTCATAAATAGGAGTTTTTTTAAAAGTCTGATAGGGTCTGATAGGATAACCTGGCTTATGTGTTTCAGTGGTACCATAAATCCTACTAGGATTATTAGTCTTGGGCATGAAATTAAACTCACCTAGAAACGATATCATTCAGTTTATTAGATCCGCTATGGACTTTTCAACCTTATCCACAATAGTGTCTATTCGTTTCTTAATTTCCTCATACGATTCTGTCTCTATATGTTCGTTTATTTTCTGAACGTAATCAAACTTATTTAACACTGCTGTTGAATCGCCTTTTTTGATTTAGTCATTACCATACTGTTGTCATTTTGAAGATTCCTAAAAGCTTCTATTTCTGCTTTTAGTAATTTTTTAAAAATTTTTTGTTGTTGCTTGAGTGTTACTGCATATTATGCTCTTATCTGATCAACGATTGTCTTATCTACTGAACCTAATGCTATTTTAGTCTTTGAAATGACTTCATCATTCCAATCGTACCAAAAATTGTTCGAAATACAGTGATTACTATTATTACTGTTGTTATCGTCATTATTATTATTCGTTATTATCACTATTATAAGGTTTCGATTCATCAGCTGTTACACTGAAGTTAAATCCTTTTTCCGACACCTTTACTTCTATTGAGCTGAAAACTCTAGTTGGTAGATTGACGATCCACTCTGTTTTATCGACCACTGACGATTTGATACTAGTAATCTTGCTATTCTTGAACAGATACTTTTCTTTCATTAATTTGTTGAGTTTTTCGGTTCAACTAAACTTCAGTGACGACCAATCACGTCCAAGTACGCGCTGACCATTCAGAATCAAGAATATGAAGGACAAAGTAGTTATTAATAGAAATGGCACTTTATTTGCAATTAATTAATGTTTTACGTGAGAAATAAGGATATCTAAATTTTAAATAGGTTTATTATCTTTGAAACCATAACATCGTCTGCATCGCCACTAATTTATACCGGACAGTATCATTTAAATTGTATTTGGGAAACTCCCCGTCATGATCTTAAGAAGCTTCTTAGACGACTCCACATATTTTCAAAGTTATTTGTGTGTGCACTCCAGTTTTGCAATCAATGAAGTGCTTCTTGTGAACAGTAGTTTGGTGGGGGTAACCCATTTCTGATAAAGGCATGAATGGTTTCCAAGTATCTATGTGCATTATGGTGCCCAATGCCACAGACTTTTATGTGACTGCTAGGATCAACTTTTATGACCCGTCCTTTACCCAATGAAACTGTCCTTTCATCGTATTTTGGTCGTATATACCAGGAATCTGTGGTTTGCCAAGGCATACATATGTATACATATTTACCCAATCCTGTTTGTCATCTTTCTTCGCTATATTTACGTTTACGAACAAGACATTCATGTATTTCAACCATATTTTACCTACTCTGAATCATATCATCAACCACCAGTTTATGCTGTCACGCAGACCTCAACCTGGGAGGTCCGCATCTACTACACGACTCAGACCAGCATTCTTAAACCTCGTGAACTTGTGCTATGTTTTCGTATGGCTACCTTTATGCATCCCAAACTTAATTCAGCTAACATAGGGAGATCGGACAACTGGTGACTAGGCATGCGTAACGTATGTCCCAGTCACCTCAGTTGATGAAAGTTCACAACTTTATAAATTGACATTCCACTTCTGACCAAAACGTTTCATATGACTTCTATGTTACTGACGTGGTGTTACGGCGACATATGGTTTATGGTGCGAAGGCAATGATTGAACACCTGTTACCTCCTCATAATTTCCATCTTTAATGTCCGTGTTTTACGACCATATAGTAGAACAGAGTGGGCTGCAACGCAATACAATGCACGCTAAACAGGCAGTTGAATATCAATGTGGTGTCGTGTATGGCATAAGTTAGCCAAAGCCAAGTGGTGAGGGGGGGGGCGTTTGAAAGTGAAGGAAAAGGCATAAGTATTAGACAGTATTCAGCAGCTGTTTAAGCGCGTTAGCAATACTGGCAAGAGGAAAGCGTTGGCTCATGAGATCATGGCCGAGACTTCTCGGGACGGGCGACTGAAAATTTGGGTGAAACGCTTCGAAAACAGTACAATTTGCCCACAACCACGTTTCATCTACCTAATACGAATGTGAATCGGACGTTGAGATCCATCCTCCATCTCTCCCCCATTTGAGAAATTGGTTTCAAATTTGTAACAATTCAAAGCATCACGTTCTGACGATTGGTCCCTAATTGTTTTAACGACGGTGGTAGAAAATTATTGAATAGAGTAGTGCAGGTGTTAGCTAGTGTATGAAGCTCAGAGGCAAATTCTTTAGCTCAGTATAGGTCATTAATTATTCCAACTTTAAGGAAGGGAGAGAAGTGGTTGTGCGACGACCATAGAGAAGTCAGTTTGAATAAAATAATGTCTAGGATCCTATGATCGATATGTAGATTACGCTTAACGGAAGCTCGAGGAGACCAGGCAAGTTTCAGACCTGGATGAGGATGCATTGATAAGTACTACATCTTTGGCAGGTTCTAAAAAGCAGACACCTACGGTAGAAATTTGCGTACTTCTCAACCTAGAGTTGGATTTCGACTGCTGATTAAAAGGTGTTACAGAATCTGACTGTTAAGGGAGTTCTGTGGAAGTGTAACGCTAATGAAAACCCTCCATTGGAACTCACATTGCCGTGTAAGGGCATATAGAGAGTTTCATCTGAATGGATGACAACTAGTGGTGTGAGGCAGGGATGCCTACTGTCACCGTTCCTGTTTAATTTTGCCATAGGTTTAGCAATGGGAATAATCTTCGGTACAACTGACTTTATAGGGATTAATCTTCTCCCTGAAGGTCATCTGGTTGACTTGGAGTATGCAGGCAATAATGTCCTCCTCGGTGAAGATGTGGACGAAATACAGGGTATTCTGAACACGTTGAGCGAACATATGGGTAGGTTTGGCACGGGTTTCTCACTCATCTAACGTAAGATGGTTCTTCAGTACTGATCTGCCACTGCTCCTAGCTTAAGAATAGCGAGTGACTTGATGAAATATGTCGACCACTTTACTTAGAGAGCCACATAAGCCCAAATGTGCTGTTACCGACGACATCGCAGCTCAGATACAAAAGGCACGTGTAGCATTTACTGAGGTACGTCATTTCCGGTGACTGTGTGGTATTCGACTACCTAATAAAAAAGGGTTTGGTTCAGTTTAGCCTGTTCTGTACTACCATACGACTTTGAAACATGGTCGTTGGAGGGAGATGTGAAGGAGTTACAAGGTTTTTACTCGTCTATGATGGGATCACCATGTGAATAATGTTGAAGTCAGTGAGACGCAACTAGATAAGGAAAGCAAGCTAGTTGATGAGGTCGTCAGCCTTCACTGACTCAGGTGGTCCGGACATGTGTAACGCATGACGAGTCACCGCCTATCTCGAAGTGCAATGTTTACCTAAGTGAAATTGTTTCTGAAGAAGGCTGTGTCCAAACTAAGACGTGTGTCTAGTCCATTTAGTGTCTGACTGTTGATTTAAGCTGTGTACACGGGTAAGGACTGGCTGTTTGGAGTTTCCAAGACCATAGGAATCAATGGTTACAGACTCGGCAAGATGATTGAAAATCGGTCACTATGACATGTATCCACTCCTTGACGTTTTCTAAAGTTTAAACATTTTCACCAGCTCCAGTTTTCGGATTCCTTTCTCGATGTCTTTGTCTAATTCGATATCACTTTTCTATCTACCTGTTCTTTGCAAACTGGTGTGGCAACTGGGATAAATACACTTCTGTGCTAAGTTCTATGCTGATTCGTCTATTTGCACAGCGGTCGAAGTTGTTATATGTCACAGTTTTCATTGCCTTGTCGGTAGGTGTTAAGTGCTACTTCTTCAAGGATAACATCCTATTGTCATTATATTTTTTTTACTGAGAGCTCATCATCTCCCAATCCTCATCACTGTGTTAATTATACATTCAATTCTAGCTCGTACTCATAAAGAGTTGTTCCTTTAATATGATTACAGTCAGTGGTGTCCGTTAGATAATCCATTGATGCTTAACGTTGTTCAAGAGATATCATTTTCCTTACTCACGAATTCCTGAATAATATTGTTCTATCTCGAGAGCCTTAAGTCAATCTGTAGTATACAGACCATACAATGGAGATAGGCAAAGACTTAAACAAAAGGCTATGTTTTTTCCATATCCTCAGCAGAAATCTGATTGTATTTTCGATGCGTTTTGCACCTGTCAGATGCTAGAGGTTGCTGCAAAACGGACCTTCGTTGATATGTAGCATAAGGATAAAATAGGATTGATTTTTATCAAAATACGTCAAACTGATTTGGGGAGTCATGCCAACCTGATTGTACTAGTCCAGATTGTAATTCCTATATGAAGCTCAGATTCACAAGGTTTGCTTGCTATCTGCTGATGTTCTCTACCTCTGACAGCGATACATCATCTATCACAAAGTCAAAATTCTCCTCACAAGTTCACTTTGTGCTACATTATACACTGGAAGTCTTATGGGAAGTGACGATCTATTAAAAAATTGATTTCATAATGCTTGTATGTTAGGTAACTTGGTCTCTAAAGAAACTAATTTTGTAGGGAATTATGATATTCGGTCATGATGTACGGTTTTAGATGTATAAAATAGGTAAACGTTTTGATACCTGAATGTAAAGTGGAAAGTTGGGGTTTATAACACCCTCTTATTAGTCAAATACTACTACTACATAAAGACTTATTAAGTGAATCACAGTTTTGTTTGCCTAATTAGTAGATAAATCTATAAATGATATTTTTACTCAATAGTTCACAATTGGACGGCAGAAGAAACTATCCTATGGCTTATCAATTATGCAAAGCTTCCAGAATATGAACGCCTATTTCATCAAGCAAAAATTTCCGGAAGTTCTATTCCTAGGTAACTGATTTTCTGACCTATGTTTGTCGTTTTATGTTGTTTATTTCTAGTCTTATAGTTTTTCACTACAGAATAAGGGGATTTAGCTTGTTTATTATGTCAAATGAACCCGCGAAATGCTTAGAATTGCCCAACAATGTTATTTTCAATTACTTAACTCCTAAAGAGGATTTTCAGTGTTCGATCACTTTTAATTGGGTTTACTCTTTTAATGTTAACAATTTTAAAGCATGTGTACTAAATGATAGTGATAATAATGTATGATTTCATTTATATGGTTAGACTTCTGGAACCAGGTTTCATTAACTCTTATGATTTGGACTATATGGGATCATCGTTTTCTATGTTGATGGAAAGAGTGGTAGATATAATTCTCTTCGGTCCTCCTGAAAAAGGTTAGTACATCAAATAATATATTATATGAACTTTGTTTCTTGTTTGTTCTGGCTCATTATCATGGTTGAAGGTAACATCAATGAATCCTCATGTAACGAGTGATCTATTTAGATGAGCTACTGAAGTCCAATGGGTTTTTGTTACTGTCAGTTAAATTTACCATCTCTACTACTATATGTACAGCATAACAGATCTGGTATCAGTGGCATTTATCTTCACACTAGTCTGTTGGAAATATTGCATAATCATCTTACGTCGTCGTTGTTACTCCTGATTTATTTGACCTAACATCTCCCAGTCACCACCGAGACCAATAAAAAATCTATCTTGATGCAGAAAAGTTGCTGGTCGTGATTTGTTGGTCAGTTGAAGATGGTTTATATAGAATTAAATGCATGGAAGGTGATTTTCATCACAGATCTACATCAGCTCAACAGCAATTTAAGACGTGGGACATAATCACTTTTGAACTTGCAAAGTGTTACTGACTGACTGGCTATCAACTCATCGGACCAATAGTAACTTGTTTTCCCAAGAATATATTGCTTGTAAGTTAGATGTCTGTTTCGGATGGAAGTAGTATGCAATCTAAAACTAATGAAATGATTGCTTAAAGCTGTGTTATTCATGATGTAAACCATCTTCAAATGTTGAGAAGATTTAAGTCGTGCATTTACTTGTAGTTAAATCATTACTGCACTAGGTTTTAAGTAATTTTCAGCGCAAAGAGGTAGTATAGTTAGTTGTTTTCAGGCGTTTTACAAATTCCTTATACGGAACCACAATTTTTGTTAGTCATAGCTTTGCAGGAATGCTTGTACATAGTAACTGCTCAATATCTTTTTACTCTTATTTCTAGTTTTTTTTCCCAAGTTTAATAACTCAGTTGTCATTCAGAGCCTTTTAGACCTGCTTCAATATTCTGCACCATGATGTCTAGTGTCAAGATTTGGTAATTATATCTAGTATTTTGGATGAAATATATGAAACTGATGATTCTGTTCAGACGTTTATTCCCACCTGGAGGATTTGATTACTTTGTAATCGGTGTTGTTTTTTATTTCACCACTTATCTCTTTTTTCACGATATCCTTCTTACATGCAACATTTTCATAGCGTTATTCCTTTATTGTGTAGTGTTTGTCTTCAAGTTTTTGTTACAATGATAAAGCGAATCAACCGAGGATGGACTTTCCCGCTTTACTACGACCCAACTTGATTGATGGTGTGATGGTATTATACAGTTTTCCGCGTCGAAATAGGCTGAATGCGGGTCGAACCCGGTACCGATTACTTGAAGGTTAAATGTTCAAGCCAATAGGCCACATCTCCACACCAGTCCTTTGTTAGGAACTACAGTATTGCGAGGTTTTTTTAAAAACGTGATACCTTTAAAAAAGGTTTTTAATGGTACAAACACATTTTTGAGCTTTATTTAAATGGAACAGAGAATTTCGAATCACTTGGATGGATACTACTCTATCAGTCCTCATAAAAGCCGGTCCCAACAGAATATCATGGAGCATTGTCATCAGTTCCACTTCTACTGTCTTTCTATATTAGTTGAGGAATAAAGAATCAGCAGAATTCAATAAGCATGACAGTAAATCGGAAAATAGGTATCTCAGTTAGTTCGCAAAGGTTATTTTCTTGTGCGTTGAGAACTGTCTCCTCATAATTGATCATATAATGAAAGGTTTATTGAGAATCTTATGAAAATAGCCTCTCATATTATTCAACTGGAATTTATTCCGAATACTTTTGCAGTCTGCGTGGTTCCCTGCTATATACCTTCTTATTCTGCTTAAGTTTTATCTGATGTTCGCCCATAACTTTAAAATAATTCATCATTATTGCCTTCACGTGGTTACTAGCTTTTGTTTTCCCACTGAAGGCCAAACTCTCATTGGTTAACTCTTTTATCCTGAATGTGGATTTACTGTTGTCAAGGTCATTTAGAAATGTATATATTCAGCATCGCTTTCAACTGTTTTGACTTTTGTTGAGACAGTAAAAGCTGTCTGTTAACGATCCATCTTCTCTTCTTGTCTCCACCTGCCGGTGATGTTGTTGTTGAGGTTGACTTTCTGATTGGCGTCTACAGTCGATTCGTTTCGCGCGTCAGGTTCATATAGCTCGTACTGTTAGATTGCACTACCGGTCATAGCATTCCCCCATATCCACGTGCATCCACTCCAGTAGGTTCTAAAGAAGATGGAATTTATGTTCTAATTTCATTGTCAGAAAAGTGTTTGTTGTGTCTGAGGGTCATTGAATGATTTATCTTATTCAACTTTTGAGAAAAATTTATTATGAAAGGAATTTTTTATTGGTGCTCATAATATACAGTTACTTTTGAATACATGAATAGTGAATAATGTTTTTAAGGCAATGTATTCATCTCTACGCGTTCAATGTGTAATCTTTAAGTTTTATTCAAATGTTTGAAACCAAGTATGTTTTGTTTTCAATATTTAATGGGATTCGTTTATTTTAAAAATCTATATTTGATTTTTATACATTTTAGATCCCAGTGTTTATCTGTTATTGGCTATTCTAGTGTTGCTTATCGTATTCTTAACGTGTTTAGTGACCGTTTGTTTAACACGTGACTTTTGTAAACCTGAAAAAATTACCCTTGAATATGAAGGTTTAGCAGAAAGCAAAGAAATTCTTCACGTTCTTCAGAAAAAGTGAGTTATATGTATGCCTACATGGATAATATTCTTATATCGTGTAGCGTTGAGGTATAAAGTATTTTCAACTTTAAGTGTAACTGGCTCCTGACAGTGTGAACTATCTTCGTCAAACAAGCGTCGTAATATTGCAGACGGAGATTTTCTGTTGGCTTTTACCCCCATTTACCCTTAGTTTTCTGTAAGATGCAACCGTATGACTTTTTACTGGGACCAAATCACCCATCTACTAGATTGTTTTCTTTCTCCATAAGTGATTCCTACTCGATTTTTATTCAAATGAAAATCGGTTTGATTGTGTGATTGTGTGTTTGCTCATAAAACCAAGTCAGTATGCTTTTTCACCTTGTAACTTGGTCATCAATATCAACATAGGACCAGGAATTACTGCGTAACGGTCTGAGTTGACGCACCTCATATCAGTACATCAAGTAGAAAGGTAGTGAGGTGAAAGGTGGAGATAAGAGAATGCAGTCAAAAGAAATATAAAGTACTAAAAGAGAGAAAGGAAAAATGAGGAAATGGTGAGATCCGATATAGCGTCGTTAAGATGAGGATAATGTGTGTATACATCTGCTCCACTGACATCGGTTCTGAGCCATATCATCTAGAGTCTCCAACCACTGGTTCCTCTCATCCCGCCAATCACAACCGGCTAGTCTGCAATGCCCTACATGACTCAAACCAACAATCAAAGACCTCATTCATTGGTGTCATGTTTTAGTCTGGCCACCTCGAGCCTTTTTCCAGCCTCAACCTATTTCGACCAATATTGTGTGACTAGGCATACATAACACATATACTAACCATCTCAGTCGATGAGGGTTCACAACCGTGTCAACTGACTTACCTCTTCTCCCTAAAACTCTACACCTCACTTCTACATTACTCACATGGTGACACCACGGAATACGGCCTATACTACGAAGGCAACGGTGGTCAAACACTTGAAGTCTTCTCATATCTTCCACCTTCAATGGCCATGTTTCACAGCCATACAGTAGAACACAGAGGACTGGTGTGCAGTACATGTGACCCTTAATAGACAAACGGATATCATGGCGGCGCCACAGTTGGCGTAATTTAGCAAAAGCCACCTGAGCCTTTCATATCCGTGCAGAGATTTCATCGGCCACTGACCCACCAGGGCTGATCCTACTTCCCAGGTAAGTGAAGTGGTCGGCACACTCAACCACTTCGCTCTCTACTGTTAGCCGTGATACCGCTGAAGACCAGTTCTGGAGCAACAATTTGCATTTGGGTGGTGAGAACCGCATCCCAACCATTCTGAAGTTCCCACTCAAAGTGTTCAGAAGACTCTGCATCTTGTCAGAGTCTTCACTTAACAGGACTATGTCATGTCATCTGCATATTCTAGGTCTAACGAAAATTCTCCTGCGATTAGATCAACGTCTGTGTAATCAGGTGACGAGAGGGAGACCACCATAAGAATATCTATGATGAAATTGAATAAGAATGGAGACAGTGGGCATCTTTGACGGACACCACTCGATGAGCATAGCTCCATGGACATCTCACCATAGGCTCTAACATGCCGACAAGTGTTCGAGTAGAGAGCCTTCAATAAGGTGATGTACTTACTCGGTACACCTTTCAGTGAGAGACATTGCCATAAGACTTCTCGATCAACGGAGTCGAATACCGCCTTCAGGTCGAGAAATACAATACAGCTATTGTCGGGTGTCGGTAAGCTTTTCTGTGTCCCAGAACCTGGGGCAGTGTGGATATTCGGTCAATACACTTGCTGCCAGGTCTAAATCCTGCCTGGTTCTCTCGGGCTTGCTGTTCCCGAGCTCCACTCAGGCGTTGGAGGATTATAGAACCTAGGATCTTGGACACTATGTTCGTCAGGCTGATTCCTCTGTGGTGGTTATCACAAGAGGACTTCTTGTCTTTCTTGAAGATTGGGATAATCAGTGACTTAGACCAGTCAGAGGGGATCGTATTTGATTCTCATATACTGGTTAACACTTCCGTTAATCTGACTAACAGCACCTTTCCACCATCCTTGTATACCTTAGGAGTTAGTCCGTCTGGTCCTTCTGCTATTCCTCGTTTCAGGTTACCTACTGCTTTCTCAACTTCTCCTAGTGTTAGGGAACCTATCTCTATGTCCCATTCAGGATCATACTGGATAGCCAGCAACGCAATGGTGGCTAGAGGCCAGACTTGGGGTTATCAGAGAACACGAAAAGAATTTTTCTTCATGAAGTATCATAATAACTGGCGGAAATACTGATGTGTATTGGAGCAGTACCCTGTAAGTAAATGCGAGCAATAATGGTTTTATTTCAGGACTTTACAGTCTGCTGGAAAAACAATCTGAAGGTCCTCCACGCATTTTGTAGGTCATTTGAATATAGTTTGTAATTGTCTTTGCTGTGCATTCTTTAAATAACATCAATGATGTTTACTCAGTATTTATTCAGCATTTTCTTCTTGTATCTATTTTTTTATCAGTGTTTCTAACCAGATTGATGCCTGCAAATCAAACACAGATAACTGCATTGCGTTACACCATGGGAATGGTGATTCGGATAAGGTGAGTTGGTTCACGTGTATTATTTAAGAGATTTAGTTGGATAAATAAGTTCATGTTCTTTTTCATTTCTTAATATTAGTCGACTGAAGTTAAAAATTGTTGACAGTTAAGTTTCAATAGAGTGACTGATTTTTACCACGAACAACCTCTGTGGTCCATTGTTCTCTAATGCATAGAGTTGAGAGTGTCCACTGCTGTAAATTTCTTGAATAAAATGAAACAGCTTTCTGATATCCCCCTGGTTTCTAAGTGTTTCTCAGCTAATATTTTCTTTTTGTTTTTTGCAAAATCATGATGGAGTGACATAAACATAACATTCATTAGATGGGATGACTTTCTGCCTCAGGTAATACTTTTCAGGCAGTCACTTAGTAGTAGTATCGTTTCCCCTGCAAGAAAAGTTATATTACATTCCCAACCTGTACATAACCAATAACTTATATCTCTGCACGCATACAGATAATCATCTTCATAATTATCAACAATAAAAGCAAACCGATGAAGTCATGAAAACTACAGAATATATTGTATTTTATTACTCAGAAATGCAGATGCCTACCGGTATCTATTTTATGTAAACCTCTTAGTGACATTCAGGTATTTTACTCTGTTTATGGAAAATAAACAATTTTTTTTTCTTCTTTTAATATCGTTCCACTTATCTTTGATGACTATACAAAATACCTTTTTATAAATATTGTTTTATAGATTAGTGAAGATGTATGTGATACAAACCATTATAAACTGAACTGGAATGAATTCAGCGAAACTGTTATTCACTCAGGAAGAAGTATATTGTTTTCTGCCGCCAAGTTTTCTGTATTTGTTAGTTTGCTTCGTGAGAGTTACATTTCTGAGGCAAAATGCTTGTTGAAGGAAATCAAAAATATCGCACAAAAGTTATCAGCTGTTGAAGATTTAGTGAGTAACAGTATTTCTGTTAACAGTTTATTCTTTTGAAAATAAAGCTCTACCTCTTGTTTTCACTACGGAATAGAAGTACAGTTAACTATATGTGTTTTTTCCGTCATGTAACCCCCTCGGTTGAACATATTTACAAACTCACCAAAAAACAAGCTTTGTAAGTTAGAAGATTCTATAAAACCCATCAGACAAAATAATTTAGTTTATTAAATTCTACGCATCAATTTTTAGGTCAAGCACATAAATCACAGTAATCAACAGTTCATAAAAACTTGACTAAGTCTATAAACTCCGATAGGGCAGTACAACTTTTAGACAAAAGTCCAGCCAATCCAATGGGTGCAATTATACACAATAGATTGGGAAAAAGTGACAATCCTAAAAGCTAATTTACGAGATTGGTAAAAGAGACTAGTAAGTGAAGCTTCCTTCATCGAATTAAAATTTAAACACATGCAATAGGAATAACTCTACATATTTGGATAATTTCACCGCCCATTTGGTGAATTAAGGAGATAAAAATATAACCATATAAACGATGTGAAAGATATGGATTTGCCTTTTTATGTGAATACGAACAATGTGTTGTATTCGAAATGTCATCCAGTGGATAATACTGTTTCACTGTGTCTAATATCCAACAGACAGATGGACATGGAAAAATATCTCACAATTCCCTAAGTTCCATTGTTTCATAAAAGTTTCTGTCAATTTCATAAAAGTTTCTTACACTCTGTAGTGGTGCAGAAATACCCATTAGTGTTACTTGAATAACTTGAGTATCGTCGCAGACTAAGGCATCATTTACATAGTCGGGGTTGAAAAGATTTTTTTCTTAATAACAACTTCCCATTTTCTTCGCTTTAATAATTTTGATAGTAAGCTTATATAGAAGTGGCAAAGCATAGAGAAATGGTTGTGTTTTTCTTGCTCACATAATATCTCATCACAACACTGATTAGTTTCAGTGAAAATAAGACGTGATTATCTATTGTATGCCGTACTTTAGTTACCAGTGTGCTTATTCAGTAACCCGTAGATGTGTGCTTCGAATTTTCCTACTAAAGTTTTATTATCCTACAGTCATCATTCCTATATGCATAGATCAACTAAGGCTATCTAATATACCCTAATAATATCTTTATATCTAGGACAAATTTTCATTCAAATTGGGATCAAGTGTTTAGAACTAAATCGTATTCAGTGCTTACCTGTTGAGATCTGCAGTACATACATATGAAAGATGAGACGCGATACGACTAACGATAGAAATGACCTGCCAACACTATATTCATCTGACACTAGAAGTCAATGGGATTGAAAGTATATTTACTTCAACCGAATCGCTGAAAGTTTAGTCGTTTATATAACTTTTAAAGGTCCTTAACCAGGGAAAACAAAAAAGCATATTAAAAGTGTAAAGTGAATCAGTCAGCGTTTAGTATCTTAAACCGCGGTGACAAAAAAAGTAGCGTTGCGTGTAACGAAAATAAGGGTTAAATTTTGCAGTGAAAATATATCGATATTATAAGTTAGTTTTTAAGAGATCAGATATCCCTAACAATAACCATGCATTTTGAGAAAATGATATCCTTCACAGTTTCTAGTAGTTCGTAACTCAGTTTTGCTGGTGTTACCGAGAAACCCATCACATAGCAAATTAGTTTTCTGTACATAGCGTTCCAGAATTGTAAAGGAAGTTTTCTTGGTTCCGGAACCCGTTTTTGTGAGTTCTTAAGTGGTAGATTCGGTCAAAATGTAGTTTGTATATATTACATTGTACCATTTATAAGCGCATATACAGAAGAAAGGTTCGTGGAACTTTCAAGATCATCTGACAGTGTGGTTGGTCGGTATTTAATCAGTTGCTTGAATAATTCTTTTAAATAATATACGCTTTCTTATTCTTCATCTAACCACTTTTCTAACTACTAGTATTTTGAATCTCGATCAAATAACTGTCTGCTGGGCTTTTCACATCGCAATGAAGAGTGTGCAAATGAAGAAATATGTCATATGAATGAAGTTATGTAAGTGTATTACTATATATATATATATATATATATATATATATATATATATATATATATATATATATATATATATATATATATATATATATATATATATGATCCAAAATACCCTTGGTATTGACGAAATATCTGAGTACTAATTGAATTCCGAGTGCAGTGCCTATCCAAATTATCTGTTCCAGCCATGAAACATGATTTCATCTGACTATCTTAGATAACTGTAGTTTGGCAGACTAGTATTTATACTGGGTGATGATTTCTTTGTCGCTTTTGGGACTTAATTGGACACTGTACAGCTCAGTCTCAGTGGTGTAGAAAATCATAGTATTTTGTGTATGTATTTGTTCAGTCAGCATACTTGATATTTTCTTAAAACGCAGAGAACATGTAGGTAAAAGAATGCAGAGAATACAACAGTTACAAGTCATCGATAAAACCAATATTTACTTGTATAAGAGCTCTCCAGCTGCGCCTTGGACACCATGTATTCAAACAATATTTCTCCGATTATAACCCCAGCACATGTACCATGATTCGGACAGATAGGTGGTTTCTTCAATCTTCATCTAATAGGAGTTGTGTCTCATTGGTTTAGGCAGTTAACTTTCAACTAGTAGGTCGCGAGTTCGAACACCATCCCTCTTACTGAGGTTTGAGAGGTCGCATAGTATCACTAACCCTCATATAATGAGTGTGGCTAGTTGCCAGATGCGCGAACGAGTACAAGGTTGGTGAGTGGGTTTCGATTTTCTATAATGGGTAAGGTTCATAGTCTAGAACAGGAATCGACGTTTATTTGTCAACTTACTCTTTGTTTCATCACTTTATGTGAAAGTCTAAAAAGGAAATGAGGTTTCCAGTAGTTCAGGTTTCACATATTCTAATGGGTTAACAGGCGAAAATATTAACTGAGTTAAACTTATTCGATCAGTCAAAAATTACTTTACTTAACAAAGGTCCAAAATACGATGTCGATTATCTAATAATACACAGATCGGTCAGGTGGAAATCGCTTTGTAACAGTGGTCTCTGAAAGGCGAAATGAATTCGGTATTCATTTTGTGTTTTTATTTATCTTGAAAGTATTTGTGACATCGAATTCAATATCTTTTCCCCAAATCTATGATATTCCACTCGAATATTTTGTTCTACTTTTCATTCGTCAACCTGTATAAATACATGTAGAAGTTTGGTAGAATCTGCACAACCATTCCTAATGTGCTTGACTGTGCAATCAGAAATGTCAGAATGCAGTTCCTCTGTTCATACTTTTCCGAGTTTCTTCCGCTTTGATAAAAGCTTAGTGAAAATTGTTTTTTCTCGGGAATCGAGTTTTTTTTTCATAAAACTAAAATCATCCATATCATTACACAAATAAACATTGTTTATGCTTCAGCTGGATTCATCTAACTCACTCGTTAAATGTTTTGAAGGTCTCGTTCCCAACTTCAACAGATCATTTCTTATGCATTTGTCAGTCTTTATACATCTTATCAGATAAAAACCGCTGTTCGCTTGCCTTTGAACTAGTTGGAAATAGCAGAAAGGTTACTAGTGTATGACATGAAGCCGTAATATGAAGCATTGTTATGTTAGATAAGCAACTTTAGGTGTCCCATAACTCCCTGGATATGGTCCGAGAGATCACACAACTCAGTGGCTTGCAGCGAAAGTGGACAAAACTCAGAACCGAAAACTCGCGATCATGCTGTGGCTTTCTTGTTTCCCGTATAAATAAAAAAATACGACGAAATTAGTAAGTGCTTCTTCGGACGTATATCCCACACTGCTTCTTTACTATTCCACTTCTGTTTTGTTTCCATTCTCTCTTCCATATTCTGTATCTTCATAATGCTGCTTTGTTATGTTGTATCCCGCACCTTTTGGTGCCCAGTTCTTCCTAAGCTTTAGTTCTAATAGACACATACAAACAATCAATACAGAGCCTTACACAAAAGTACATCGGTTCAAGTTGTCACACTTCACAGTAGTACATAAGGAACAAGTGGGTAGAAAGAGAGTGATATCAAAGAAGATAGTGTGAGAGAATAAGCAATCTGAAGATAAAAATTAGTGCGGACACTCATACTTTAGATGTTAAGTAGTGAATACGTCTGCACCAATGTGACCAATTTTCAGCTATGTCACCAGCTCCTCAACCATGATAGGAATCAGTGATTCCTATCGTCTCACAGACCCCAACCGGGCAGTCTACATCTCCCTACATGCCTCAGACTAACAGTCAGTGACTTCATCAGATTGTGATACGTCTTCGTCTGGACACCCTGAACCCTCTTCTTCTAACCTAGTCCAAGTTCCCCTAGCATGCCACGTCGAAATATGTGGTGCATCGGCACCCTCACCACATGTCGAAGCCATCCCAATCGACGGAGGTTCACAACTTCATCAATCGCCTTGCCTGTCTTGCCTAGTACCCTTCGCCTGACCTCAACATCGCTCACACAGTGATTCCACCAAACGCACTCAATGTTATGAAGACATGAATGATCAAAACCCTGGACCCACCTCATGTTGTCTACTTTTGACGGGCGTGTCTGATAGCCGTATAACAGGACAGTACGAACTGTGTCGGAGTATACTCATTCTTTAATAGGTAGTCGGATATCCCACTAGTTTGCGCCGCAGGTGACATGAGTTAGCAAATGTCAAACGGGCCTTTCGGTTTACGAGCTGAGATTTCGTCAGCAATCAGCCCGTTCGAGCTGATGCAACACTTCAATTAGGTGAAGTGGTCAACACATTCCACCACTTCATTCCCTATCGATAGACTGGGAGTACTTGCAGCAGAAGGGTACCAGCAGAACGCATACCGCACATACTGAGGTTTCTGCTCGACGCGTTCACAAGACCCTGCGTTTTGTCAGGGAGAATGTCGTCTACACACTGAAAGCCAACTAGAGGACATGTGAAGGGAAATGTACGTAAAGTTTTGTCAATCCGCACTTCCGTAACGATATTTAACAGAAGCGAAGAAAGTAGGTGTCTGTGGCAGATACCACTAGTTGTCGTCAATTGATATAACAACTCTCCATAAGCCCTCACACAAATGCGTGAGTTTACGTAGACATCTTTGATAAATATGATTTATTTGTTCGCTACTCCCTTTATAGTTATACAGTGCAGCCATACATCATAGATGATTGAGTCAAATGTTGCCTTCAGGTCAATAAAGATGGTGGTTGTCGGACGCCGTGGCCATGTGCCTGTGTTCCTTTACCTGTCGAAGGGTAAAAATCTGATCGATACACCCTCGTCCAGGTCTGAAACCTGCTGGGTTCTCGATTTTTTTATTCTCAAGCTGCACTTACGCGTCGAATAACTGTGGACCCTGGGGTCTTGGAAACCATATTAAGGAAACTAATTCCCTTATTGTTGTTACAAGAAGACTTCCTTCACTTATAGACTGAAATAATTAGAGAAGTAGACAAAGTTGATGGCACTACCTCTGATTCCCGTATGCTACTTAGATCATCCATCTCGGCATTCAGCAATTCGCTACCTCCATCCTTGAACAGTTCAGCTGGCAAACTGTCACTTCCTGCTGCTTGGCATTGTTCAAAGTTTGAAGCAGCCTTTTCATCTTCGTTGATAGTTGGAAGACCGACATCTGTGTGCCATTCGGGTTCGGGCTTAATGCTGGTTAACTGAGTCATTGCTGTGGGCCAGTTGAACTGGATTTCAAAGTGTTCCGCTCAACGTTTCACGCGTCTGTCCTGAAAGGCTAACAGCTCCCCTTCTTTTTTGGTGACGGTTTCACTAACCATCATCTTGTTCTTGCCGGTATCCTTAATAAACCTAAATGGTTGTCGAGTGTTACCCAACGCTGATTGCCTCTGCATCTCTCTTCCTCTCGCCACCCACCACTTCTCACGATCGTTGCGAATACTCCTAGTGAATTTGCGTTTAAGTGTCTTTCACTCTTCATTATAATCAGACCCAACTCAAATGAGCCTTCTCGCACCAATCAGTTCGGATGATGTTGCGTAAATCAAGAGACGTATGCTAACCCTCGATTGCAGGTTACCAACTGTTCTTACTGATGTCTTCACATTTGATTTAATATGACGGCAGGTTCCCTCAAAATGAGGATTGTGACATTCAGACGTATGTTTACCTATCTTCTTCACGTTTTCGTCTTCTGATCGAGCTAAGGAAGGTCTTCACTGTTGCCTGTTTTCTGCGACCAGTAAGCCACAGGCGTATACAATCCCGTACTAGCGCGTGATTGAAGTCCAGACAGGTACTGCAGAAAGAACGGCAATTCTTCACCGATCCTCTCCAACAATTTCTTACACCAATATGATTTATATGTGTCCATTGTTGATTTGGTTTCGATTAGTGGCATGTGCATCAGTGTCCTTCCTTATGTTTGAAGTTATTGATGGCCAGAAACAAACGATTGTCGGAACAAAATTACAACAGATGATCATTGTTGTTGGTTTGTTGGCATGGCTTTCTTCAGATACCTCCAGCATGATTATCTCACTGGCTCAGCTTTCTTAGCTGAGAGTTGAAGTCGCCTGCCGTTCTGATCATACTTGAGCGTTTTGATTTTTGTTGACAGCCTCTCATAGAATTCATCCTTTGCATCGTCCGAACTGCACTCGGTGGGCACGTAGGCGGCGATTATGACTGGGTATCCGGTAGTCGCACGGTCCTTATTACTTCCTGCAGACCGTTTCGATCGAATAAAAAAGACGGCTGTTAACGGGTATTCAGTGTAGAAAGGTGCTTTCTCCTCTACAACTCAATGCTATGCCTACACCAGCAAGTCCACAAGAACTATCCATCAAATAGCCGAACAGTGAATTTCGACGATTCACAACGTTGACCAGATGAGGTTTAGTTAGTCGCCACACTCAAGTTCTGTATACATGTCTCAGAAACACAGCATACAATACATCCATGTCTCGAGACTCCTTAGGTTTTGCAAAGGATACTTATTGTCCGGCTTTGTATAGGGTTCGGACGCTGATGAATGCAATGTGAAATCGACAGCGGGTTCTTGGGAGACTAGTGATGAGGTTTCGATAGACGTTGCCGATAGACGCAATTTGTTCTGATTATGTGTATTGTATGTGGGTTATGTGCGGTTGATAGAAAATTCTGTGGTGTATCAAATTCCTTTGTAAAATCTAAATCTTATCTTTGTTTCGACGTCCTTCCTCTTGTCAGCTTCCCCTTCAAATTGTTTACATGTAACTCGTTATTTATATCACTGTCTCTGTATTAAAATTAAGGTACATATTAGCACTCTGTGTGAACTAATTGTTTATGAAAAGTAAGTGAAAGTTATCCATGAAAATTATCTGAATTAGTTTACATCAAGTCTTTTTAGTGCTCAAGTAGTTACTGCACCGTACACAAAGACAAATTGATTCTCTTTAGTCTACTTATTTTAATGTATAAGAGAACTTACGTACTTACCGTGAAGATGTTGATCATTGACTTCAACATTTCAGTCTCGAACAATAGGTTACAGGTCTAAACTGATCATTACCACCGAACTTGACAATCGAATAGTATTGTTAAACCTGACGATGTATTGTACAAATCTTTTACTAGGTTAAGTTGCATATATATGTTGTTTAAAATTGACTTGTTGATCTCAATGAATGGTTTTGAATGCGTTTTATCTGTCTTACACAACCCAAGCATTATTCACTAGGATTCATTAGTATGTATGGCTGAAGGATCTCAAGTTAAAATGAAAAATCTGTCTCTAGCTACTGTTTTTGTGTGATAAAAGTCGCTTTGAAATCAACCAATTCTTCAAATGCGTCTCAGTTAAAAGGCAAATAAATAAAACAAATTAAAAAAACTCTGCAATTAAGACTAATTATCTAGAAATTACATCTTTACTATGGAAACTGTGGTTTTACTGATTTTCCAAACCCTTTCTCTCAGTGGTTCTTCTTGAAGTGCAAGTTGTAAGTTAGCATACTATGCCATGTAATCTGTACTACATTACTCAAAGTTACGTTTTGTTTTGCTAAAGTATATTCTTAGAATGTAACAGTTATTTTGTGCATGTATGAATTAACTTTGTAACAGCTGTTTACAACTATTCCTTTTTAGAGTCGAAGTGTCTAATTTGAAGTTTGAAGCAGAAAAGCGTAACAAGCGATGGAGTAGTATTTTCGCTTCTATACGACGTGCCTATATGGAGTCTGGTCAGTGTAATGGTGACAACAGGTACGCTACAACTGGCAACTCTGCCCTTGGGACAATCCACAAACTAATCAATAGTGGAGTTGACCGTGAAAAAATTGAACCGCTGAAAAATGTTGCTGTTATTGGTAGCGATAAAAGTCATAAACTACTTGACAAGCCAGGTAAACCTTTTTTTCTTGAAAAAACGGAAATAAATTGAAATTGTTTCACTATTTACTTCCATTGGTTGATGCCGTCCAATAGTCTTAAATGCAAGAAATGTCCATAGGAATTTAAATTTGTGTGACAGATGTGAAGTTGTAATGCTCGCATTGTAGGCTACCAGAGGTAAATGCAGACAAGTGCGGTTAGTTGCAGGTAAAAAATCATGTTGTAACACTTCGTAATAGCACAATATCGAAGGCAGTATAAAAAACTACTAACAATTGATAACTCTCAAAGTCATCTAGAAAATAGTCTTCGTTGCATTTTTTATGAAGCTTCTTCCTAGTAGAGTTCCACATTGTTTATTTATCATATATGTGTTAGGTTTACTGAATAAATGTATATTTGTGACTGGTGTGTAATAATTTCAGTTATCGTTATCAGATGCCAGACGTTACTTAACCACCTCAGTCGTATAAGTGACAGGATGCTATAATTTAAATTTGGTGTCCAAATGTATGTTCTGTGATATTTGTAGTCTATCCCTTCTAGCTGAAGTAGTAATTTCTGCAGAGTTATTCCATGGTGAGAATGTTTGCCTAGAGAGTAGGAAAACCAACTGAAAATTCAGACCAGTTTAGATCTAGAAGCGGGAAGTGTGAAAGCAGGAAGAAGGCCACATAGAATAAGCAACACCTGCATAGATGCTACCGTGCAGCTGTCAGAAGAATAGGTCAACGCAAAGTCAACTTACATAGAAGTCAACCATCATCAAAAACATGGAGCGCAAGGAGTTCTTTTTGATTGTATGAGATGCTTGATTTTCAAATAACTACCACGCGTTCGAACCGAACCGCAGTTGCTGATGTTTGACCAATCAAGTAATATCACAGTGCTAATACATTAGGTATGGTTCACTGTCTGTTTATAGTTTCATTAGTTTTGTTCTAAATGTGATTAATCTCAGGCCAACTCCTCCTAAAATTTGATCGATAGAAATATGCATACTGGTGCCACGTTTTTCAGGTATCTGGGCAGAAGTATCTTTCCATGGCTTTTGATGCTTGTTTTTTGTCTTCGGGGTTCTGTGTCAGTCGAAAATTCTCTTCATTTGACCTAGTATAACTATGTAACGGTCAAAGATTTCACACACCATATCGGCATATAGAAGTTTTGAATATCTGATTAGCTTTCGTTTGTTTGTCGTCTACCTATATTTTTTATTTTAAGATGTTACCGCTGTGCTCCCTTTTTTTCTTAAGTAGGTTTACTAGTTGCGATTTTGTGCAAGTTGCTACACAGTTGTGTATATACTGATAGTAATAGGTGCCTTGAAAAACTATTTTATCGAAATAGCCTGTAAAAATGGAAAACTTTGAAGAAATGTGCAATAAGACCATTGATAAATATGATCCAAATGGAAAAGCGTGTAATGTGTAGACATATTACATGAAAGAATTAACAACAGCAATTCCTTTATTAATTGAAACGTCTAGGTAATGAATACTTTTAACTTTAAAAATCTATTTACCTTGACTGTTGAATGAAGTAAAGTTAGCACTGAGAACTCACTTCAAACGACTGAAAATTGTACGATGATTGTACGATGACCGATTCGGTATTTATAAAGTCTTTTACCATTCAGAAACTTTGGATGGCATGGCATAGATTTATTCATAGCCTTTCTTCATGGTCGTTTCATCGAATTTCGTTATTTGCTCCATCTGCTCTTCTGTTTGTTTGAGAGTTTTCTATGACCTTTTGTCGATATTCTTTTGTGAAGACGCTGACAAAATGCAGGGTCTTGTGAACGCGTCGAGCAGAAACCTCAGTATGTGCGGTATGCGTTCTGCTGGTACCCTTCTGCTGCAAGTACTCCCAGTCTATCGATAGGGAATGAAGTGGTGGAATGTGTTGACCACTTCACCTAATTGAAGTGTTGCATCAGCTCGAACGGGCTGATTGCTGACGAAATCTCAGCTCGTAAACCGAAAGGCCCGTTTGACATTTGCTAACTCATGTCACCTGCGGCGCAAACTAGTGGGATATCCGACTACCTATTAAAGAATGAGTATACTCCGACACAGTTCGTACTGTCCTGTTATACGGCTATCAGACACGCCCGTCAAAAGTAGACAACATGAGGTGGGTCCAGGGTTTTGATCATTCATGTCTTCATAACATTGAGTGCGTTTGGTGGAATCACTGTGTGAGCGATGTTGAGGTCAGGCGAAGGGTACTAGGCAAGACAGGCAAGGCGATTGATGAAGTTGTGAACCTCCGTCGATTGGGATGGCTTCGACATGTGGTGAGGGTGCCGATGCACCACATATTTCGACGTGGCATGCTAGGGGAACTTGGACTAGGTTAGAAGAAGAGGGTTCAGGGTGTCCAGACGAAGACGTATCACAATCCGATGAAGTCACTGACTGTTAGTCTGAGGCATGTAGGGAGATGTAGACTGCCCGGTTGGGGTCTGTGAGACGATAGGAATCACTGATTCCTATCATGGTTGAGGAGCTGGTGACATAGCTGAAAATTGGTCACATTGGTGCAGACGTATTCACTACTTAACATCTAAAGTATGAGTGTCCGCACTAATTTTTATCTTCAGATTGCTTATTCTCTCACACTATCTTTTTTGATAACACTCTCTTTCTACCCACTTGTTCCTTATGTACTACTGTGAAGTGTAACAACTTGAACCGATGCACTTTTGTGTAAGGCTCTGCATTGATTTTGTCAGTGTCATGACCTTTGGAGCACATTATCTGATTTTTTTTCACTTCACTATTCTGCTTACTGTGCTTATTTGATGTCTCATAACAAGGCATTGCATCATACTACAACTTACTATGGTCATATTGTGTATAATGTCACGTATGTTAAAGTGACTGAAAATACCCACCAGGACATTCGAGGAAACAAAAAGTTTACCAAGGACATCTTTTTCGGTGATTTTATTCTGTATAGCTGTACAATCATAATTTAAACGTTTTCTTTCCGCTATGTTGGATGGTTACAAGAATTGTTCAATAAATTTAGGTAACAAAGATCAGAAATTTACAAGTGTGATGTAAGGGGGAAATTAATCGCGAAAGATGCGTAATATGTAGAAATTATTTCCTAATTACGACTTTATTAAGATTTGCATGAAAACAAGATGAAGATGATGTTGATTTATTAGATGATATAATAAAATATTAACACGATTGTGAAGAATAAGAGCGAGATAGAAGTCGGCTTTTTTCTGTCAGCCATTTACTAAGTCCATGCTAGCAAAAAAGGTTAAAAAGATTTCTTTCATATATATATGTCTGGTTTTTCGATGCTGTTTTGTAATTAATTCTCACGTTACACTACACTTGTGAAGTTTTGATCTCCATTCAACTTGATCTTTGTTACTGGAGTTGAGTAATTCTTGTAAACTATGCAACATAGTGGAACAAAAACGTATAAATTGTGATTGTACAGCTATAACGAATGAAATCGCTGAATAAATATTTTCACTGAACCTCTCGTTTTCTCTATGTTAATATTATTGGACTTTATTTTGTCCATCTTGGCAAGAGATTCACTGAGCGATTATTTAAATTGATTTAGAGCTATTTCATAAGTGAGTACACCACTAGAAGCAAGTATTTATGATGGCTACGTGCTAATGAATCCGGTATGTACATAATTGAAAGCCTGTTAAGTATTTTTGAAGTGTTGAATTGTCAAAGTTTTTCTGTAACGTCAAACAGTTCTTATTACATTTGTATAACATGTGTCATTTTTTGTCTTCAGACGAGCACTTTAGTCTCATTGGGATAAAGCGAGATCCATCGGACGGAAGTAAATCACTAAATGGAACACAAGTTACTAGTGATAATGTAGAAAATCATATGCACTTATCAGACAATGGCTTTGATAGTTCTTCTTGGTTAGTCATCTGTTTTGTTTGTCTTGGGGTTTCTTTTTAGTATATTTGTGATCCATATCTTCCATTTGTAGGCGTCAACTCTTATCGTAACTGTAGAGTTGTTAACTGAATTATGGAAAGAACAGTCATATTTCGCTTTAGTATGTCACGTTTTGACACCGTATACCAATTAGGTTATTTAAGCCTGTATTCATACTACTATTCTTGAGCTGTGAACCAGTGGTAAACATAGATCATTCGTAGATTCTGGTTGATCTCAGTGACGAACGTATTTTACTTTTTCTGTAACACATTGGACATTAGTAAAATTTCTAGGAGACAAATATCCAAAAACGAAATAACCCAAAATGACAGCTCTTTTGGGGAAGGGAAATATTACGTCAGTATAGATTTGTACGAAAAATAACTTCCAACACCTTCCCAATAGCCTTGTAAGTCACTTTAATCATGGAATGGTCAGTTCACGCACATTGTGTGCAAGTTTTCTGGTAGCATACATTCAGCTATACCAGAAATCTAGGCAACCCTATCAAACACTTGTCACGTGATTGATTTATTCCTCAAAAAATATTCTTTCATTCTATTCGTAATCAGAATACTACTCGAATTCTTTTTTTGCTCGAGTCGATTATCACGGGTAGAGTACTGTTATGCAGTTGTGGTGACAATGCAAACTGTCGGACAAATTTATTCTTATGATAGTTGTTTATATACCCAGCTTTTTTCTTATTAGTTTGATTAGAAACCAGCCTCAGATTCTCATGGACCTTGCTTCGTGCTCGACCAACAGGTGTTAAGGTGACATGGTGGTCTGGCTTGCATATCTCAATGACGCAGCGATCTGTAGTAATAAGAAAACTTGCTCCTTGAAGTCCTTCCATATGAAAAACATTTATTGAATGGTGGTAAAACAGAAATCAATTATTCAGAACAGGAATAAGGTATGGTCATGTTAGTTGGAGGCACTTGACGGTAATCCTAGGACTTAGGTTTCGCTCTTATTGTTAGTCAACAGCAGGACTAATATACAACCTCACTGGATTTTTAAAAAGCAGTTGGACGTCCGAGGGTGACATAGAGGAGATCGTGAGAGGAGGAAATGAAAGCTTGTGGGCTGTCGTGGAGCCAGGTTCATAAGATTTCAGAGGACAGAGTGGAATGGAGACGTGCTACCGAAGCTGTATGTTCCATTGGGAACCCAAGGGACTAATAATAGTAATTCATCATGGACCTACATCAATTTGAGAAACATGTGAAGGCCAGGAGCACTGAACAACCGTTTCATCCTAGTATGGGACTCCTCAGCAGTGCGCACCCTGGCCCCACCAGGAATCGAATCCAGGACCGTCGGATTCCTTGACCAGCACATTACCATTAAGTCACTGAGTCTGAATCTAATGGTCCATACTTCCTACTTCTATCAGTTCAGGATATAGCGCTACCTCCATCCAATGCCGTCGTTGAGTACCTCCCCTCATGTTCAACTTGGTTGGCCCTACTGGTCGCAACTAAACGGTAACGTTCTGGCCGTGGAACCTGAAGGTTCTGGGTTCGATTACTGATAGGGTCATGGGTGCACACTGCTGAAGAGTCCCATACTAGGACGAAACAACTGTCCAGTGCTCCTAGCTTTCCAATGGTTCTCCAACTGATGTCATACTATGATGAATACCAACCTGAAAAATAATTTAATTATGTTGAGTTAACTTCCAGTATTTCAGAGTGATATTCTGTATTAATGTATCACTTTGTTCGGTCATTATCTTTCTTATTCACACTATAAATAAAATAACGACTGAGTGTAGTCAGTTTAGCTAAAAATATTTGTTTCTTTTACACAGTTGTTCATGCTGAAGTTTTCTGTCTGTTATTGTGATAACACTCTATTTCCTTCGGGATTTCTATAGTGTGTTCTGCATCAACATATTAGTACACACATCTTTTTATTCATATCATTCATGGAATCGTGGCTGTATTTCTACGTGCTGTATATATTTACTTAAATGTGAATATTTTGGACTACATCTGGTGCGGTACAAGCTACCTTAAATTATTATTTCTTAGATAACAGCTATAAGGTACACAACTGTGAAGTACAGAAACTCATTTTTTCGGCATTTAACTTTCTGTTATCGTGGAGAGTTGGGAGAACGAATGATAATACTTTACGATTGATAGTCGAGGATTGAGACAGTTCAACCTGAGTGATTCGCAAAGAGAAATCGAAACGCTGGTAATCAGCTGACTTTATGGTGTCTCGGACTGAAAACATTTATCAGTGAGCACAGAGCCTGTTTATAGAGTTTACAGTAACCTTAAAAGACAAAGAATAACTAGTATATTTAAAGATGCAGGAGCCAGTCGGAACGCTAGCGAGTTATATGAAATGTGACCTCTGCGCGGGGAAAAGAGCGCAAAAAAAAATAGTTCAAATATAAACAAATTGTAAGCATGGAATATAAGTGATATAGACATCCCTAACGCTTGCGATATTTAGTCGAGACCTGAATATTTAATGTAGCATTTAACAATTCACAGTCCGGTTAAATAAAGAGCTAATGTAACTAGTCATGTTGATAAGGAACGTTGTCCTATTGATGTAAAATAACCGCATAGTTAAATGTATTCTTTATCTTTCCTTTACTCTATGATTAGCATCTTACATAAGGATGACACACGCGATCATAGTTACAGTAATCTGCATTCAACAAAGATACCTACTTTCATTCACTTATCACGATCATCTGAAAAATCGTCTGGAAATTCTCAAGGGAAATGCCGTGGTTCATCTAAAGTAAGTGATGGATACCATCCACAAAGTTCTTTACATTTGAATAACTAAGGCAAGCTTAAAGTGTCTACAACGTGCGTTGCTTCTCCCACTCAGTTGATATATACTTTTGATGCATGGATTTGCTACTGCAGTGAGGTGTGGGAACATAGACCGTTACGCAGTAATGCCAGGTCCCATGATGATCCTGACTGAATGCAATGTAGTTAACTTTCAACTTAATAATACAGGCTGTTGGCTAGCAGTGGAATCCAGGATACGAGTTACTTCCTATTTCGGACTTATCAGCTGGATTAGCTTACCTTCATATGAGTGACATTGTCCATACTGAGACTCGAACTCATCATGTATCACTTGAAATTCCAGAGGGTTATTCACGAGGCTGTTGGGTCATATTAGTCATTCCTTGTGCTGCGAGTATAGTTTGACAGCATTGATCGATGGCAACTAGCATTAAAATCCGAGATGCGTGTTTCTTATGCGGTACATCCTCACAAAAGCCTATATGCCAATAGTCTGGTCACTTTGGTCAACTCAATGACGGTAAACTACAAGCTGTAACATATACTTATACATAGTTACTGATGGCCTGCTAAAATCTTAGTTTATCCAACATTTTTTACAGTATATATTGCATCAGATTACTAATTTTTCGATGTCGCTTTATTCATTTACTCATGTCTTTAAAATTTTATATACTCTCGGTCAATTTTAAAATGTTTTCAATCTACCTCTTCACAATTTTACTATAAAATTAAGTAGCATAACAGTGGTTTCTTAAGTGTTCAACAATACATCATCTAGATAGCTAACACGACGTACAGATTCTTATGTTACTTTGATGGACACCCGTGATCAAACTCACCTACACATTTTAGTTCGTCCCCTGCAACCAACTCATTTAATGCCAGACGAAAATTTTTAATTCCAAGGTAGTATTCATCACGGACTGGCATTAGTTAGAGAACCATTGAAAATCTTGGAGCAATGAACAGCTGTTTCGTCTTAGTATGAGACTCCTCGGCAGTACGCATCCACGACTCAGTGAATATTACCTTAAAAATAAATTCCTCATTACCCTCGAAGCACTTTACAATAGCTCATCTTTACATATTGTCTATAATACTACTGCGATGTACATTATTTGCGTGCTATAACTAGTTTATTTGGAAGCATTGCTCAACGAGTAAATTTTAATATTAAATACTAAGAAATGTCATACTGTATTAAAAGTCTGTCTGGAATAAACTGATCATTACTTGTAGTAATTGTTTCTTTTCTCCCTCTGTATGTCACCAAAGCCACTGACACTATTGTAATTGCGATACGAAGAAGTTAAGATACAGAAGTGTGCAGGTATCTGACTGTTTACAAAAGATTGATTATGAATTTTTAATACTTGAATGTACTGCATGGGTCATCAACCTGAATGAGTATTCTTGAGGTTGGAATTAACCTTTATTATTATTACTATGACTAATAGTGGTCGTAATAATTATAAGGACTGCACCTCTTTTTGCACTTCCATACTCCTATCTTGAAATAATGGAGAATATTTTGTAGCTCAGGTGGATGGTCTTGGTTGTCTTGTGTTCCTTCGAAGGAAACAACCAATCACAGACCACATCATCAGAGCAAGCTACTAAATCATTCACGTAGAGATAATGACAACTCACTTCATACTGAGGCTAGTGTTAGTAACATCGTCTAGCAAGGTGACGAAAGCTTCACGATTAAACAACCCAGCTCAGAGAACACAATACAACCAATACGCCTATCTTGTTGAGAAAGCCTGTTGGATAGTGACAAGACGAAAGGCAAATGCCTTTATAGCCTAAATTTCTACACTGTGATGGGGGTCCGAGAGAGAAGTAATACTGTTGGCTGGACGCGGTGTGACAGGAATAAGGTGTTTTTCGCGAATGACCAGTACCATGCTGCCTTCCCTATGGGAAAGCGGGATTAGAAAAAGTTGGCTCCCTGTTGTCTTCTGGTACCGGTGGTATGAGTCCTACCTATCCGGCATTAGGACAACCAAATCACTAATCCTCAAAGCGCTGCGTTTGACAGGCTTCAAATAGATGTCCCATGGGTTCTGCGATCACATTGTTTTCTTTTCAGGTACCCTGCAGAGAGAACTTCTACGGTATGGACATTCGAAAACTGTCAACCGCCTACACCTTGTGATACCAATCTTAGGCCTCTTACAACTTAGTCACCCTCACACTCTACGTCTATTGCCAACGTTCCAAGTCATCGAAACCTCAATCCTGGTCCCCAAGACCCCACTGTTGGTTTCACGTTGCATCCGCAACGTCGGGACCCTATAAAAACCGGACAACAAATACCCTTCGCAAAATCTAAGGAATCTTTAGACATAGATGTATTGTATGCTGTGTTTCTGAGACACTCATACAGAACCTGAGTGTGGCGACTAACTAGACCTCATCTGGTCAACGTTTTGAACCTTCGAAATTCACTGTTCGGCGATTTGGTGGTTAGTTCTTGTGGACTTGCTGGTGTATGCATAGCATTGAGTTGTAGAGCAGAAAACGCACTTCACAACTGGATGGGGGCGAACAGCTATTTGTGTGCTATTTGACTGAATGGTTCGGTTAGAAGTAGTAGTAATCGTGAGATTTGCCGGTCTAATCATAATCTCCGCCAACTCGCTCACTGGCTGTAGTTCGGATGATGCTAAATTACTAGCAATCTTGGAGTAGTTCATAAGAAAGTTGTCATCGGGATTGACAACAACTGGTGGTTTGCCAGGGATATCTGCTTTCACCGTTCCTGTATCATTTCCTAGATGTGTCAGTGGAATCAATCTTAGGCACCTCTAACTTCACAGTGATTGGCATACTTCATATATGGCATCTGGTTAACTTGGCGTTTGCCAACGATATTGCCTTGCTCGGTAAAGACATTGACAAAATACAGTGTTTTCTGAGTGCGTTGAGTATGTTCGATATTCGTTTCGCTGTCACCTTTTAAATGTAAAATGATTCCTCAGGACTGATCTACTGCAAGTACTCTCATTTTAATGTGATAAGGAATGAAGTGGTGAAATGTGTCGACCACTTCACTTACTTGGAGATTTGCATGAGCTTGAACGGGTTGGTTGCTGACGAAATGTCATTCGGGAAACGGAGGGTTTGTTTGGATTTTCGATCTTGCATCATTTCTGTCACTGGTTGGTAGGATATCCGACTACCTGTTAAAGGATGAGTTAAATGCGCTGCAGTCGTTTCTCTTATGCGGCTTTGAGAAATGGCCGTTAAGAGTAGAAGATACGAAGTGACTACCTGATTTTGACCATAAATGTCTCCGTAACAATGCTATTGTATGATGAAATCATCCTGTGAGCGATGTGACGATTAGGTTGAAGGTACTAGGTAAGGAATTTAACTGAGTCAATGGGGGTTGTAAACCTCCATCGACTGAGGTAGTTTATACAGGTTCTGTGCATGGCGAGCCACCACCTACCTCGACGTGCCATGCTAGGAGAAGTTGGATTATGTTGGGAGAGGCTTCAAGGTGACCAAACCAAGACGTGAAACCGGTTCAGTACGTCGCTAAACGTTGGTTTATGTCGTGTATGCGGATGTAGACTGGTGGGTTAGGTTCCTTGAGACCATAAGAATCAATAATTGGGGACTCTTGGTGAGATAGCTGAAAATCGGTCAGGATGGCGCAAATAAATTCACTCTTTGATGTCTTCCACAGTTTGAATACTTTCACTAACCCATATCTTATAATTTCCTCTCCTCCCCTACACCTTTGTTTACTATGGTGTCAGTCTTTTCCTGTCCACTTGTTCTTTGCGTACTACTGTGAAGTGTGACAACTTGAACCGGTGCACTTTTGTGCGAATTTTTTGTGTTGATGTCCTTTTTTCTTCGTTCTGCTTTCGTCTTATATATTTGAATCAAATGAAAAGGTTAGTCACACATTATGGTTTTTAATGAACGAAAGGATTTTTTCCTTGTTATGAATTAATGTGTTAAAAATGAGTTCCGTTTATTCTTTGTTATGATGAAAATGAAAGGATCCTTTCTTTTATATTCTTGTTCTTTTACCATACTGAAATAGCTCGGAATACTGGCTGGCTGGGATCGATAAAAGTCTGAACAAGGAATAACGTCCATCAATTAGTGGATATCTTTATATCTTAAAGAAGGATAGTGGCTAGCAGTGCAATCTAGGATGTGCTTTTTGTCTTATTTTAGGATATGCTCGCCTCCCGGTGAGTGATATTGTCCCTACGAAACGTGCTTCTTGGATTCCACTGCTAGCCAGTATCCACCATTATAGTTGACATATAGGTAGAATCGGGGGTTCCGCGCAGGAGCCCATATGCCAATAGAGATCGATCAGTTTGGTTCAATCAACGATGAGATGTTACAAGTAACAACATAGTTGATATCTTTGGCAAATACTCGAAAATCTTAGGAATATGACTCGTGGATTGAGTAACGAAGACAAAGTAAGCATTGGAAATTACCCACAAGTAGGACTCGACAACCGCTTAGAAATATCGAACACACGTATCAGAAATCGACTATCAATGTTATACCAGTCTTTTGGATAATAGCAGTGGCTTTCCACCTAGCGTTCGAACACCCTTCAGTTTTTATCACCCGGCATAAGTTTTGATGAGATGAGAACACCATCTCTTGCGTGGATTGAAAATCTCTTCATTTTCACTGGAAACCTCTTGAGTTTTTCTGACTAGATAAATAAACCAATATGGAATCTTACAAAGCCGTACCGATTCTAATCACTTGGTTTTGGGTTACTATATTCGGTTTTTTTATTATCAGATACCTCTTCCTGACTGATTCAGCTGAGTGAGAAAATGTATGCAAGAGTAACCCATATATGGCAGTAAATACGGTAAAGTGATTGAGATAGGTGTTAGGCATGCTGACCCCACGACCTTCCTCTACGTATAATATTGACTAAAGCAGGATAAAATTGAAAGGCAACTAAGGATAGCCAAACGAAGGTATGGAGATAATTTATAAAGTCTCTGACAGTTCATCGGAACCGTGTATGTTATTGTAGGTTGCCTCATTGATATTCTCAAAGCGCTAGGGGGGAATCAGTGGTTGTAAACTGTTGGTAATATGACACTGCCACACATTCACTATTTCCATGCTCGAAACTGCATATTTTATTCACCTTCATTTAATTATTTACTCTGTTTCGTATTGTTGTTGTTTACTTTATTACCATTCTATTGTAATTCACTTTATCTTCGTTTGGTGTTATGAAGTGAAAAAACTTTAACTGTTTCACTGTACCTGTAGTATATGGTGCGGTGTAAATCTTTAAACTTAGTCTTATATATATCCATTTTTGTGGAAGCGTATTTGCACTAGTCCCATGAAATAATTTATTTTATTCACCTGCTAATGTTTTGAACAAGGGTGTTACTGGAGTGCATAGAAAGAAAAGTTGCATTTCGTGTTCTATATATAGTATAGTGATTTACGTTACATTCAGTCATCAAACCTAGGCTAAGAGAAAAGTTTCAATTGCTCCTCACCTGTGACTTGGAGTATAGTTCTTATCAAACTAGCTGTAGGATACTAGAGAGAATTGAAATATGGAGTTTTGTTTGAGACAGTGCATTTATCTTGTGTATGTCTGTATCATTTCTTCTTCATATTTGTGTCATCTGATTTAAGGGGACCAGTATATCTGAAGCAGGACAGAAGCGTTAGTTGATTTGTTGCAACTAGAATAAAGTATTCTTACATTCTCTGATATGTTGTCATCAATGGGCACAAGTTCTAAAATTGTCAAGACCCATTGATTTTCACAGTAGATGGATACGTACACTTTGTACAAGGCAAAATTATTATTATTATTATTATATTTATGAATATAGAAAAAGTTTGCTTAACGGCTAGTGGATATTTGTACAAATCTGAATAGTAACTGGTCATTACTTGCACTCTAAATCGTTTCTGGATTTATGTCTAATTTTCTGAAGCTTATTTCTACCATATGCTGAATATATATATATATATATATATATATATATATATATATATATATATATATATATATATATATATATATAACCCAGTCACATGTGATTCTTTCCTAGTCAATAGTGTTATGTGTCATTTCACACAATTATCTATCTAAAGAATCATTTTATTACTTTTTCTAGTCTGGCAGTGTATTACCTTCGTCATCATTAATACAAACTCACTCTGATACTTCGAACCACACTCCATTGACGGTTCAAATTACAGATTCCGATTCTTCATACATTGTCTCAACTGGAAAATTAAGAATACCATTTTCAGACTTTACTAATACATCTGTCACTCAGATAAAACATTCTGGATTACGAAAGCCTAAACCAGTCAAGACGTAACATCTGGTAAAAACTGATTTCATTACCAGTTGTTCGTTTGATATGTATCTTTATCATCACATTATGCATTGTTTATGCGCCATCCTAAACGTTTTCTCTTTCAGTTTATAAATATATATTTCTAAACTAAATCTCGTTTTATTATTGTGTCATTGAAAAACAATTTCTAGAAGTTTTACCGAACAGTTCCATGTTGAGTATGTTTATTTGAAGTAATACAGATATTTAGAATTCTTTGATTATTCATGCATCAAGTGTTAAAAGTGCAATGGTTTGTGAATCTAGCTTGTTTTTTTTGACTGACTAGTCTTCGAAAGAGATCATATAAATAAACATGGTCCATATGGACTTACACTTTACCATAGTGCCCGGCTTCCACTTTTATATTGATGCAAAAAGGTAGATTGATTAGTTTATATCTTGATCTAGAATATGGTTACTTATTTTTTCTATGCTGCTGACAACAATACCTTCCTATTATTTACATACTGACGGATAGTTCATACTTCTGGCTGGATGGATATTCGATAGCAGTAAGATGTTTCCGACGTATGACCAGTATTCTATGCTGTTGAATTTTCTTGTCGGAAGAAAGGATTAGGGAAGGTCGATCTTGAAAACAGAACACTCCCTACTCTACAGCCTTCTGTTGCCTATGATATAGGTTTCAAAGCTCGATTCAACAAAAATTCAAATCTCAGCTCCTGGTTGTATTGTGTTCTCTGAGCTCAGTAACATGGAACGAAGTAGGGTGGAAGGGTCTGTACCGGGGTTATTTAGGGACTGATCGAGGACAATTGGTTGGATTTAGTGAATTCTTAGTTTACGTATGGTCATCACATTCTCAGTCTTCAAAGAAAAAAACAAATCCACTTAGGATAACTATATAAGACTCAACTTAGGGTCATTAGACGCCCAAGAAAAGCTGGAGATTAGCAAACCCAAGAAATTCAGGTAGATAATTAGACCTCGTCGTGGGCATTTTAATCATGACTCATAACATAAGCATCCCTTCCGGAACCGAACACTAGCTTTATTTCTTGACCTAGAAGCAGAGTTAAACTGTTTAAGTCGAAAAGTCTTATGGAGTGTTTCTCTCAAGAGCGTGCTGACTAAGTATATCACTTTGTTGAAGGTCTATACTCTATGACATGTGGGTGTGTTAGAGCCTATATTATGGCATCAGATGAGCTGTGAACACTGAATGGTATCTGTCAAGGATGTCTTCTCTCTCCATTTTAACTTAAATATGTCATGGATGCACTTTTTAGGTCTGCTTCTCCTCGTTTGACTTCACAAGAACCGATCATGTCACAGGAGACTTCTTAATAGACTGATAGAACTCAGATGAAATAGTTTTTTTTACGTAAGGATGTGTCGTCTTCTAGGCACCTTCTGTGACATTTTGAATATGATCAGTCGTCCCGGAGTTGGTTTAGATTGTTGCTTGTCCAACATTAGGAAATGAAATGGTGACCACTTCACTTACCTGGGAAAGGTTAGAGTAAGTAACAGATGAAGTCTCTGCATAGGTTAAGGAGATTCGTTTGGCTTCGGCTTTATGTGGCGTCAGCGTGTTATCTGATTGAACACAGGATCAAGTGACCTGTGCAGCAGTTCTGTCTCTTCTGCTATATTGCTATGAAACGTGATCATTAAAGTTGGAGGTCTCGGGTGTTTAGCATTCGTGGTATTGAACGTATCGTGGAACCATTACGTTAGTAATGTATATATATATATATATATATATATATATATATATATATATATATATATATATATATATATATATATATATATATATATATATATATATATATATATATATAGGGATGAAACTCATGGTAGTTTAAATGCAAAAATAACTTTACCATACTGACGATACATCGTGAAGCAAACAACAATTTGAAAGGAAAGAAAAGGTTCTGAGTCCATAGGATCGCATGGAAATTCTATTGTCAAAGTTTGACGAAATCATTGAGCCATGTTTTCAGCAAAGTGATGAATACCTCAATAATTTCGCTATTATTGAATGTGATTTCGTTAAGGAAAAATTACTCGAAAACAACTCTACGGCCAATGGACTTTTCTCCTGAGTGTTTTGCTTACGTCACCATTACTTATTGGGGATGATTCAGAGAACTTTTTCACTGCTGAGAGCAGTTTCGATACCTTGGGTTGTTTTATTGTAGGTTCAGACGGTAGACTAGAGACATCTGGTCCCATAAAAATCGGTTTCATTCTGTAAATCCTGACAGTCTCTCGTCTGTCAGGACTCCGAACGGTGATAACTTTCTGATTTAGTGACAATTTTGAAAGCCTTTTCATATAAGGGTCGGAGTGGTTTTCAGATGCTATCGTGTCGAGTGAAAAAATGCATGCAATTCGAGATGCCCTGAGGTACGTACAGTTGGTTACTGTGGCATCTTCGGGACTGAGGTAATGTACTCACATGGTGCCATAGTTGTTAAATATTGTTAGTCGAGTTCGGTCGAAAGTTTGTTGATGAGCTATAGTATTCTTGACACAAGTTCAGAATAGTTCCGTGAACTATCTCCTCATAACAGCAATCGATGACCAGCTTGAGACTCGAAAACATATCAAGTGGAACTCGTGGTAAGTTACAGCTCTTTCTGTTACCAGATTTCGCTGTCATCAGTATATCTTTTATTTGTTGATGGAACCTTTCATCAATGCTGCAAAATGTTACGCAGTAGCTCTTATGCACTTTGTTTCAAGAAGTTCTGTAGGTTGCTGAAATAATCAACTTTCGAATTGTGCACATCTGTCTGCGATTATGATACCGAGAACACGAAATCTAGAAATCGACTGTTGGATGATGTTTTTCGCTACTGTTTGAATAGGTATGTTATGGGGAGTTGTTGCTAGTGACCACCCCGTAATACTGTCAATACATTTGAAAATACAGTGGAAACCGTTCGATGCCGGTAGGTGCAGAATCAAATCTGCCGCCTAGTATGGGACATCTGCCAGCAGATGAAGCAATATGCCCTTGTATATTTGATCACTGGTACGCTAAAAAAAAAGTGTGGACCGCTGCCGAAGATCTCGATCCATTTTGGCTAGACATATCAATGAGTAACTGATTTTACTGCAGGTCGAATACCAGGATGAGAAATGCCACGCATCTCAGGGAACACTAACTGTCTCATTGTTAAGGCAGAAATAAGAGTGGTTTGACCTTAGATACACTACAGTTGGTGAATGCAGGTATATTAAGCATCACTTCTTGAAGAATCAGTGAAGTATTTAGATAACTTTTTAATTAATTTAGGCCCTCATCCATCGCCTGCAGCTTTACCGTCTCTAAAAAAAAGTTTACAAGCGTGGTTTTGGAGACGTTTACGTGAATACGGGACAAAGTATGAGCTTCCTCATTTCTGCTGCCTTTTAAATACCTCAGGCCAGAAGTGAATTTCAAATACCGCGCTACTTGTGGCGAACATTTATCGTGTTTTGTATCAATCGCTTTTGTAATAGGTTCGTGGCCTGTGAATACTTTCAGAATGTGACCTCAGAGCTTATATCTGACATCCTCGATAGCTAGGTAAATAGTCAGTAGCTCTTTGCTGAATGTACTGCTTTGCGGCTATGAAGCGCCAGTTTGATTCGCAAAGGTGACCAGTAGTTCCCACCGACCATGGACGTAATTTCAATAGACCTCGTCCACAGCAACAAGTGGAGCATCTCATGGTTCAGATCCGAGGCTGCTGGGGACTTCGCTGGCTTCACATTGGTATTCTCTAAACATCAGACCCAAGACCTTCATATTCCGGGACTAGCACGCCGCCACTAAGCCACAGATTCGGAATCCAACGGTTCTTGTTTTCCTAGCATGGGACTCCTCAGGAATGAACCATGAACCTGATAGCAGTCTGACTGTGATGAATAAAACTTGAAATCTGTCATGACTCCTAGTGGTGCTGCTGAATGTGACGACAGAGATTTCGAGAACTTGGAGCAAGCTTCATCTAGTCACATGTATCAGGGACGTTTAGATTGTGAGGAGCATACTGGCTCATCCCTGCAGTAGATATGATAGTGGTCGAGCTAATTTAGCTCAGTTAGATATGAAACTCACACAAAAGCTTAACAATCTGGGGGACCAGTGTAGCTTGCAAAACGAGTCTAGAACAGGGTGCTCTTTGATTGGATCCGCCTGTGGAGTCGATTTAACACCACCCGCAGACCTTGTCCCAGAAACCGTTATGATTGTCAACAGAATCAACATTTCTGCGTGTCGATTACCACACTGTTTTCATGTGATCGTTTAGAAAGTGTTGGTAGGTGCTGCAGGTGATTTACTTCAGGCGATCTGGCCGCCACGACTCCGTCTACAGATGTCCTGGCGAAAAGTGAACCACGGAGTACGTGACCCGTAGATGTTTGAAAAGTTCGAGCAGCACTATTCAAGCTAATCGGTATTCCAAAGAGTCCGAATAAATCAAAGGTGGTAGTGACTGTGTTCTAGGAACATCATTGGGATCCACAGAAATGTCAGTGGGTTCATACGCGATAAATGCTCGGAAAAATACTTGCATTTATCATTGGCCTCAAGAAGTTGGGTATGGGAGGGATAGAATGTCAACCAACGCCGTGCACTTATTTGATGCTTTAAAATGGGAACAAATTACACTTCATGTGTTGTTTGTCAGTGAACTACGTGCGGAGTTGATGACCATGGGCTGCTGGAAGAGTGCAAAACCACCATCTTCAGAAACTTCTCGACATCCTGCCTTACTACTTCAAAATTTTGGGATCTAAGAGTCGAGGTTTTCATGAACTCGGAGACTTTCAGTACCACTATGGTATGCCGCTGTTTAAGCAAGCATTTTGTGTAATAAGTTCCCGCAAGATGACAAAATCCTCGCTACAGGGTATTACACATGGACCTGTGTTTCATCGGAGCGACTGCCAATTATAGAAGTGATACCAGGGCTGATATACTAAAAATTACGGCTTATCAGTCCATAGTTTCTAGAGCAGACTGAAAGCTCCAAGTTTTGATGGAAATATACACAAATGATGGTAAACGAGATAGCCAAAATGATAGATAATCACGCGAGTGGTGTGCGAAAGTAAGGAGTGGGCGGGCCTTCAATGAGCAATATAACACATGTAGATGAGATCGAGACGATCGAGTCAATGCAATTGTCAGTTCTGAACCCCTGTTCACGACACCTATAAATTGGCCACCAGTATTTTCTCCTATCCAGACGCCACAACTTTTACAAATACTCTCCCGGGTGATAGGTTACTGTTCTGGTAAATACTTATAACCGTGACATTTAAGGCACCGAAACAGGTCCAATGCTTGTTCAAGGATACCCAAAGTGACGTACGTAGAAATGAACGAGGAAACACGTCAAGATACCTCCCAGCCTATGAGGAGCTTGTATAGGTTGTAGTCTAAAACATATAGGTAGCTGAGAGGGTAGAAGAGCTATTCTCTGGTGGAATTCATGAGGTCTTCGAAATCAGTATCTGAGATTCGGGTGATATGACGTAGAATAGTCTTCAATAACGCAGAGTTGTTCCTTTGTGTTGCCGTGACTATTGAGTGTAGTAGTATTTTGTTCATGTTAGCGTGTTTCCTTTGGTTTAGGTTCCGTTTCTGAAGGGTATTTTTGCTTGCCTGTGCTTGACTGGAAGATGAAAGTGTCAAGTATGCATTCAGGAAGGAGATAGATATGTACTTATCTGAACGTGACAGAAGTGTTCATCCTGAGAAGACCTGGCGTGATATGAAGTCTGCTGTAGAAACAGCGGTATGAGTAGTCGGTAGCCTACGCCCGATGGTGAACAAGCATCACTGGGTTTTCGCAACGTCATTCGACCTGGTTGATGCGAGAAGACTGACTTTGGCCGGCTCTGGCCACGATACTACGCCTCTTCTTTTTCTAATGTGCATAAATGGCTTGCCTAAACAGGTCACTCCCAAAATTCTCCTTTCTCCCGATGACGTGAAAATCTGGAGAGAAATCAGGTATGACTAAGACAGCATTTGACGCAGTTCAAGAGTCGTCCTGGTGCGAACTTGACAGACACAAAGACGAAACCGCCTCGAGAAAAAAACTAACGGTTGCCACTGGCTGTCACTCAACTGCTGCAAAACTGCTCCAACTGCTGAGTCAGATGCATCAACAGCAATACTCGAAGGAGCATTGGGGTTGTGATGCATAAGCATGGTTGCATTTGAAATGGCTTCCTTGACTTTAGAGAAAGCAAGTCTAGCCACGTTGTCCAGTGACACTCAGTTCGTAGTCCCTCGAAGTAGATCTGTTCGTGGTCTCATGACACAGGCACAGTTGGAAACAAATCTTTGGTAATAACTTACCAGGCCATTGAAAATGCGGAGATGTTTCACAGTGGTCGGCTCTGGATAGTTCGTGATAGCCGCCACTTTATCTCTCAATGGGCACATACCTTTGTTGTCAATAGTGTGCCCAAGGAAGCTGAGTGATTCAACTCCGATTTCGCATTTCTGCAAGTTGACTGTGATGCCATGTTTCTTAAGTCTTTGGAATGCGAGGTCCAAATGTTTAAGGTCAGTTTCCTTATCTGGACTCTCAATTAGACGGTCATCAATGTAGACGTGGACAAAATTTAAACCTCGGAAGACATCATCCATAAAGCGTCGGAATGTTTGTGCTGCATTCCGAAGACCAAATGGCATGCGCAGGAATTCAAACAGGCCAAAAGAAGTAATAATGGCTGTTTTCGCGATATCTTCTGCTGCCATAGGTATCTGGCTGTATGCTTCGATCAAATCGACTTTGGAGAAAATGTTCAGTCCTCATAAGGTTGCAGTCAAATCGTGAACGTGAGGTATCGGGTAGCAGCTTGGAGTTGTTTTGGTGTTAAGCCTTCCGTAATCACCGGTTGGACGCCAGTCGTTGCTGTCCTTTTTGGGAACCATGTGCAATGATGATGCCCAAGGACTGCATGGCGGTTTGTTGATGCCCAGTTCGAGCGTGTGGTCGAATTCACTTTTCGCCATTTTGAGCTTATCAGGGGCTAGACGGCGCGCTTTGGATGCCACAGGTGGACCTGTGGTTGTGACGTGTTGCATAACATTGCTGGTTATGCACGGAAGAGTGTGCTTCGTTTATTTTAACTCTGGATATTTCTCCAAAACTGCTTGGTAGGACGCGTCGCCTGATTGTTTGGTTCTAACGATGGCTAAACTATAATCTACGTAGGTGATGCCACTAATAGATAACTTTGTGTTGTTATCTATCAGTCGTCGACGGCGAGCATCTACGAGTAAATTGTAATGGTTTAGCAAATGTATGCCGATGATGGGCATAGAAACATCAGCCAGGAGGAAAACCCAGTGAATAGGTTTACGTATACCTAAGTTGGGGTGGGCATACCCTCCCAAATGTCGCGGTTGCCTTGCCATTGGCTGCTTGGAGATTGAAGGGCGGGTCATGATGACGCTCCTTTTCCGGTGCGGAAAGAACGCTAACTTCTGCGCCGGTGTCGATGAAGTAGCTGACCTTTGATTTTATATCGGTGAAGTAGAGGAAACGGCTGTTTCCGCTGGCCACGGTCGCCGTGAACATATGCCGGTGTGGCCGTTTCCCGAGTTTGTGTCCTTGTTAAAACTCCATGGCTTCCGGCATTTCCTGTTAGGCTTAGTTTCCAGACAACCGCACGAGTTGCTGCGATGCACTAAGATACGTTTCTGTGAAGTGCTCCGTAATCTAGGACTTCGAGATGGTGGCGACTGTTTAACGGGGTTGCACAGCTTCGTCACCTCCGAATCCTGGCTCTCTGGTTTGTCGCAGACAGAATATACATCGGAGACGGCTCTTCTAGAAATCACTGGAATTTTATCTGCCGAGGCTGCCAGGTCATCGAGTGGGATTGACTGCCGTGTCACTAACATGGTTTGCACCGGTTGTGGTAGTTTTGAGAGAAATAGTTCTCGGAAAAGGCCATCGTCAAGTGTTCGTGCACCCATAACTTCTCGCCTGCGTGCGAGGACTTCAGTAGCTGGGTGACTGCCTAGCTCGATGTTCCGAAGTAATTCGTCTAGGCGTTGGCGATCTATAAGATCGCTTTTCTTCAAGCGTGCGGCCTTGAGAGGTGCATAAGGATCACTTACTTCGGGACTAAACATGTGTGCTGTAACATGCCTGTTTAATCCCGCGGTAGTGAACGTATGATGGCAAGAAATCGAGAATGAGGATCTGCGACCCCCTGTTCTTGAAAATCTGCCTCGGCAAATAGAAACCATGTTTCCGCATTGTCTGGCCAATATGGCACGGGTTGGATAGTGTTCATAGTCGGCTTAATGCAGATAAGCTTGGGAGTATGGTCAGATATGAAAGAGCTGTATGTGGATATATATAATGGTTATCAAAATGAAAGCAATGTATAAGTATAAAATGGAACGGCCCCACCAATTGTATATCTGTTATTGGTCAGGATATGTTATCAGGTCGGGCTCACCAATTTGGGCATTATCCTGGTGCGATCTTGACAGGCACAAAGACCAGTCACTAACTATTCGGACTTGTTATATACCCACGAATACGAGACCAAGAAACAACACAATAGTGTAGTCGGATGGAATAGTATATTTGGGTAGTTGTGCCAAGATACTGGTGCGTTCCGACTAACTGGCTAGAGTGTCGAATAAGAGCAGTGCAAAGTAACACAACGGCATACCAAATGGCGAGGATGCTTGACCAGGTGCCTTCGGCTTAGCGAGTTCAGTTAAACTATCGAGGTCAGCATCAATGTTGAATGTCATCGAACCCTAGGCTACTGATTTCGGGGAAGTGTGTGACGCTACATTGGCTTCAAAACTGGCCAGCGAACAACGAGTTCGCGTCTGATCCTGATAAATGCAAGGCGGTGTGTGCAATACATGTCACACGTCATACTTACTGCCTTAATTTCATGAAACCTGAAAAGAGGGAGGATTTGGGCCTTTTAGTCCCGCAAGACTAAAAATACGATGCCAACTGTGATGGAAACGCATCTCGCGGACACTTGGGGTCAGTAACTCTCTGACAAACTTTCAAGCATTTCACTGGTAGATGTTGCTACCAAAAGTTGAAACAGGTTCATACGGTCCCACCAGGGGTTCAGGACCATCATATTACCCATTTCATGCAGAATGAAAAATTAGGCGTAGAATGCTGAGCGTCACAACCTAGAAGTGAGGGCTCAAAAAATGCAGGCTTCGTCTGCTCGCACTATTGATGACGGATGTTGGATGTTGTTGAACAACCATTTAAACCCCTTGCACCTTATTATATTTTGCATAAATCCTGAATGAGTGCATTTGGGAAACCAGACAAACACTGAAGTTTTTTTATTTGAAATAAGGGTGAACAAGTATAAATATTATTATTGTCAAGGAGCGCCGAAATGCTTCGTTTATTTTTTATCGCCTGAGTTTGAAAGTAAGGAATACCTACTTTTCCGTGGCGCGTAGTTTGTTGTTAACGCATCAAATGACCTTCAGATGGGTAGGTTTATTCGATGTTTTGACTACAGCGACTCCCATTGTTTACTGTGACCAGGTTGGTCAGATTTCGACAGTGGCTCTCATAGATAGTTCGTTTCCTTGGAAAAGCGTTATAATTTTTCTTAAGTCATGAGACATATTCGTGAGTTGCCATATCTATTTTTAGTGTACATTATTAACAAAGTATTATTCAGAATGCCTTGAAATTCATGGTGGTTCTATGAATTGTTCGGTGTCTTAAAGGCAGCTGTTTGTGTTGTGCTATCTATCGTTCGACTTCGAAGTCACTCTGCTGGGCCTTGGTTGTCTCCAGTCATGGAAATTCGTTAAAGCTCCTCTTCTAACTAACAGTGATATCCTTTATATTTTCCGAACTTGTTGAATACTGTTGTCTGGTTGAATTGTGGTTTGTGTTAACGTAAATACTGGACTTAATCACAAGAGTATTGTGTCCAGGTGACTAGTCCATGCTTCGAAACGTATGTCAACGCTACTTAGGTAGTGATAGGTCTTGCTGACCTTCCTTATGAGGAACGATTAGAAAGACTGAGTCTACTTCCCTTATCGTGGAAAAAGGGTGACCTGATTTAAACCTTTCAGACTGATTTGTCAAATTTCTTTGCTTCCCCTAAAATGGATCACCTTAAGGAACATCGAGCAGAGATCCAAAGGCCACAGTCAAATAATATTTGAGCGGAGTATCGGTCCTCATTTAGTGGTCAGTGAAAAACTCGTTAGCGTGACGGGTCGCAGCAGTTCCTTCGGTGATCGCATTCGATGAAAAACTGAATCATAGTAGAGATAATTATTGCAAGGATTAACATAGGCAAATAGTTTGGTATTCTTTCCATTAAGTACTGAACCAGTAGGTTGAGGGTCTGGAAAATATTCTCGTCTTTCTCGGAAAATAACATTGCGTACCATGCGTTATGATTTACTGGTTAATATAATTGTTTGTAATTCACGCCCAGCGTGGACTGCTGTTGATGCGTAGTCATGCAAAAAATGTTCCTACAGCTAACGGGTTCACCACTTCTGGCTACTACTTAGAATAACCACTCGCACTTAAGATTTCTAGAAACTGTGGAAATCTATAACAAACTAAGTCACAGTGCATGCACATTTAGATAGTACTTACCCTTTGACTTCCATAGATTGTGAGTGAACGTGCCAGGTGTGTGAAGACAGGCCTTGTTGTGATCAGTTCGCACCAGTTTTTGAAGAAATGCAGCCTTCGAATTATAACTGCACCACATAGGCTACTGAAACATGTCAGTACTTAAGTTGATAAATGGTGTGATCTTTTTTAAGCCACAGAATCTGTCTAGTTTGGACTTCATTTCTGTTTGTTGCTGGTTCTTTGACTTTCCGATTCTAAGAAACCCTAGAGCGCTGAAAACAGAAAGTAAGCCCGGTCCCTATCTACGTTTCTGTCCCTAGCTGGTTTGTTCATCAATTCATATATGACAGGTGTATGACATTTTTTGTCTGCTGATTCTACGTATAACTTTTCGGGAAAACTGACGCTAAAAGCTATTGCCTAAATAAGTGGTAGCTTATGGACTCCAAATCCAAGTGACCAGGTGATAATTAAAGTACTTTAATGTGGCGCAGATGGCGTGTAATTCCATTTAACTCGTTTGTATCACCGATCACATATTTGGGTGGTGAGAAACAAACAAATGGAAATGAACCCAACTAGCATAACATGTTATCTGTAATGATTCAAGTATGAAACTCGGTTCAGTGCATCAACCAGGTTTACATCTCCCAATATCCTGCAACAGGACCATACCTGTTTAGAACTCCGACTGCACTACTCAACTGAAATATGTCTATTGATTCTGGTTTCGGGGATTCTTTTATTGTTCTGGTGCTGAGCTGGTCGTCTAACAAGTTTATTACATTACTACTGTGTAGCTTTATATATATATATATATATATATATATATATATATATATATATATATATATAATTATTATTATTTATCCCTTGGGTTCCTAGTGGAACATAGGGCCTCAGTAGCACGTCTCCGTTCCACTCTGTTATCTGCAATCTTTTAAACCTGGCTCCACGACTGCCCAGAAGCTCTCATTTCTTCCTCACACGATATGGGTTCCACTCGAGTGCCTGGCGCGTGATGTCCCCGAACGGTCTTCTCAGTGCATGTCCAATCCATCTCCATTTCCTTCTGCATATTTGTTCAGCAATAGGTTGTTGGTTGGTTCGTTGACAGCCAGCCAGAGTTCCTTGTTGCTTATTCCTTCTGGCCATTTGAGCTTCAGTAACGAGCCAGCCTAGGCAGTTGTTGATGAAAGTCTGTAGTTTGTTGAAAATCCTTTTTGTAATGCGCCAAGTCTCTGAACCATATAGAAGCACTGACTTGACTGACTTAGTGTTGAAATTCCGGATGTTGTTCACGCTTTATGCTGAGTGCAGATCTCCACTCTGGTTTCAGATTTATGAACGTCTGTCTTGCTTTTCCGATCCTGGCTTTGACGTCCTCGTCTGTGCCGCCTGTGGTTGAAACGATGGTGCTTAGGTAGGTGAAAAAGGCCACTTCCTTTAAGTTTCTCCCGTTGATGGTGATTGGAGCTTGTTGTTATTGGTGGTGGTGTTGGTTGGGTATCATCATCACCTCTGTCGTCTCTACGCTCACTTAAAGTCCCGTAGTGTTGAAGCAGTTTCCAAATTACTTCTCGGTCGACACTGTCGAAGGCCTTCTAAAAGTCGATGAAGTTGAGGTAGAGAGTTGACTGCGATTCTGTACTCTGTTCTATGATGATGCGTAGCGTTGCGATTTGGTCCGCACATGATTTGTACTTCCTGAAGGTAGGCAGCCTGTTCCGGTCGTAATTTTGAATCCAATGCATCCTTTAGTCTCTCCAGGATAATGTGGCTTAATATTTTGCTTGGGTTGAGCAGAAGTGGAGCATGATTCCACGCCAGTTCTTGCAAAGACTTAGGTCGCCCTTTTTTGGGAGTTTGACAAGGTAGTCCTTCTTCCAATCAGTGGGCAGGTACCTTCCCTTCCTTCTACACCTTCTGCAATAGTGGTGCAAGCATGTCCGCTGTTATCCCTGCGTCTGTTCTCAGTACTTCTGATGAGACTCCATCTGGTCCTGCTACTTTCCCGTATTTCAGTAGCCTTATGGCGTTCAGGACTTAGATTTGTGTTCACTGGTAGTTCTGTGACTGGGCTGCAGGTGGTATTTCTAGATGAAGTGCAGGTCGATTCAAGAGCTTTTTGAAGTGGTAAGCCCATCAGCTCCTTTGTTTCTCTTCTTTGGTAATTATATTTCCTTCACTATCTTTCCTTGGTGTCATCTGTGTTGATCTCTTCCTTCCCAGATAGTGACCTGGTTATTTGATACAATGTCGTCAGGTCTCTATCTCTCCTACCTGCAGCCTGTTCTGCTTTACTTGCCAGTGTGTCGTAGAAGTGTCTTTTGTCTTTCCGTGCACTCTTCTTCACTTCTTTGTCCAGAGCAGTGTTTTATACGTTGTACTCAATTCCTCTTCTCGTCGTTCATCCTTGCACTAATTTATCTTCTGCTGCACCATCACCATCTTCCTCTCCCTCCTCTGTCAGCTTCCATGTCGAGATCCGTGGAGATTCATTCCTTATCTTCTCTCTCCTTCCTTCCTTATAAGGTTATGCAGGTTTCTTTCCAAATTGCGTCCAAAGAGTCCCAGTGTTCATCCACACCGGTTTCTTCAGGGATGTTGCTCGAAATCTCAAATTTTGTCTTGATGGCCGACGTGAAGATTTCCTTTGTAGTTTTGTCCTTCAATTTCCGAGGGTTGTACCTGAACTGTGGTATATCACCAGCTTCTTCGAAGGCTTTCAACTTGAATTGGATGGTTCTTTGCACTAGATAGTGATCTGAACCTACATCTGCTCCTCTTCTTGACCTTGTGTCAAGTAGACTACGTCTCCATTTTCTTTAGATTGAGATAATGTCAGTCTAATTTTTAGTGTGTCCTGGTGTCTGGTGAAATCAAATCCATGTTGCTTTGTGGATATTCTTGTGCTTGAGCACAGTGCCTGGCCTACAATCACCAAATCGTTGAATGCAAAGAAATCTGCAAACAATTCTCCATTCTCGTCCATCACCTCACCGAGCGCTTCTCCACCTATGGTTAGTTCTCTTCTTGTGTTGTCTGATCCTAGTTTGGCATTCATGTCACCCCACCCATTAGAATTTTGATATCGCCAACTGAGGTCTTGTTTGGTGTTGATTGCAGCTGTCTGTAGAATTCCTCTCTCTTCTCTTCATCTGCCTTATTATTTGTAGGTGCGTAACCTAGCATTGTATGATTGTGACTTTCCATCCTTCTGAGTTGAACCTTGCTGTCATGATCCTGGAGGAGGAGATTGGTTCCCACTGTAGGAGAGCTTATGATGCTGTTGGGGACATCATGATAGCCACTCCAACACCCAGTGTGCTCGTGGTTGTCGTCTGGGTGACAATATCGGAGTAGATTATTGATTCTCCTCTCCAGTTGACAGTTTGGAGAGTCCACTTCCATTCTATCTGCTTTCGCAGATTCCTAGCACTTCAATGTGATACCTTCTCATCTCGTTTGCAGTCTGGGCAACCTCGCTGGGTTCAAACATGGTGCGGACATTCCATGTCCGCATGGAGGGAGAGAAGATACATCGGCCAATCGGCTTCCCGAAGGCTTTCACCAACCGTCGTCATTTCGTCTCTGTGATTCCAGCGAGGAATAAGTTTGTTTTTGTGTTTTATATTTTGTTTCTGCTTTGAAGTTTCTTTGGCGGCTGGGTTGGTTCTCTGGGATAGGATTGCTAGTCCTACGCCCGACCTTCCCTCTTTATCCGGGCTTAGGACCGGCTGGTAACCAGTGAACTACTTATATATGTTCAATATATGTTCTACGTTGGTCTGACCATCTGTATCCCCTGTAGGTTATTCTTCACTAATGTGTTAGCGTATTGCTAATCACACAACCCATTGCTTGCTTAATTTAACCTACCTGAAGTGATAATTAATGACTGCATGGATGATTGTACTGGCTTATTGTCCAATAAACAGAAAACCTAGTTTTGTACAAGGTGTTTTGAGGTTTCGTCTTTTATTTTCCACATAACTAGTGGTGTACTTCGAATGACATAATGTTAACAGCTGTCAAAATTCGGGCTTATTTCTCAACCACCGTTCTAATTTGGGACTTCTGGCCTAAGTTGTCTGAGTAACTGAGTCGGCTTCTGAAGTAAAATTCATGAGGTCTTCGAAATCAGTATCTGAGATTCGGGTGATATGACGTAGAATAGTCTTCAATAACGCAGAGTTGTTCCTTTGTGTTGCCGTGACTATTGAGTGTAGTAGTATTTTGTTCATGTTAGCGTGTTTCCTTTGGTTTAGGTTCCGTTTCTGAAGGGTATTTTTTGCTTGCCTGTGCTTGACTGGAAGATGAAAGTGTCAAGTATGCATTCAGGAAGGAGATAGATATGTACTTATCTGAACGTGACAGAAGTGTTCATCCTGAGAAGACCTGGCGTGATATGAAGTCTGCTGTAGAAACAGCGGTATGAGTAGTCGGTAGCCTACGCCCGATGGTGAACAAGCATCACTGGGTTTTCGCAACGTCATTCGACCTGGTTGATGCGAGAAGACTGATTCCAACAGGCTTTGACTACAATAAAGAGTGAAAGCAACTTAAGCATAAATTGACCAAGAGTCTTCTCAATGATCGCAAGCAGTGGTGGGTGGCAAAAGCGAGAGATAGAAAAAGCAGGTGTCAGAACTAGACAAGGGTCTATTGACCAGATTTTGAAAGTTCGACGGGGAATCTCAGTCGACTGAGATGGCTTGGACATGTACTGCGCGCATGCTGAGCCACCACCTACCTCGACCGACCAACCTAGAGGAAATTGGATTTGGTTCAAAAGATTTCGGGGTGGCCATCGTAGGCCGTGGTGGCATTCGATGAAACCTCTGACTATTGGTCTCAGTCGTGTAGGGAGTTGTAGACTTTCTGTTAGGCAACCAGTGAGAGTAGAAATTAGTGGGTGAAGACTCTTTGTGATATGCCTGAAAATCAACCACAGTGGCCCATGTGTTAACTCTGATGTTTTCTAATTTTTGAATACTTTGACTAAGCTTCATATTTAAATTCCGTCTCTTCTGATACACTTTTGTCTAGCTTGCTATAAGTCTTCCCTATCCACTTGTTCTTTGTGTACTAGTGTGAAGTATGATCATTTAAACGGATGCACTTATGTGCTTGGTTCTACGTTAATTTTGTCTTTCTATCTGCGGACATAACCGCCTCTTGTTTCAGTACCATAGCATTTTTACTATCGTAAATGAAATATATTTGTAAAATCCCAATAAGGTAGAAAAAGAAATTTCTGACGTTTCGAAACTTCTTGGAAATCGCGAAACGTAGGGAGTTTGTTTTTCTACCTCATTGGGATTTTACAAACATACTTCATTCATGATCCGTTTACCGAATGCTCAACTTATTTAACTCTCTAAGGTCAAATTTTGATCCTGAAGTTTATTAGACCATTTTTACTGTCGTCTCAAGCCACTTAGTTGTATGTTCTCCCGGAATTCGTACAGTAAGTCTTAATGATGCTTCCCCAACATTGTTGTCTTCCATCTTATGGCAGCACTTCATATACTGACCACCGTTTCTCCCACCTAGTTGGGGGAGGGGGGGGGGGTCAGGCGAACAGTGAACGGTCTGGGAGCTTGCAATACGAAATTTGCAACACAATTTCAAAAATCAAAACCTATGTTTGAAGATGAACTCACTAAACCAATAAAGATATCTATAACGCCCAAACGTGCTGGGTCAACTGTAAATCAGTAAGCTAATTAATAAGTAATTACTGAACAGTTGAATGAATAAGCAGTTACTTTTGTGCAGCGACAAAAGTTGTTGTATGCCAAACACTAGCATCGATCCTACACATAAGTTGTAGGAAACCAACCAGTTCTGTTTTTGAAAACCTAGTTATTTAAAGTCACTCTTTTGGTTTCAACCAGCCTAATTTTACTAATTCTAATCTCCTACATCATTTTCGTGTGTATTGTATGGAGAGTTTTAGCAGCTAGAAGTAGCAGGTGACAAATGTTTTAGTGCGCCGAAGAACAAAACTATACTTTGTGTAAATTTTTATTTCAGCGTTGATATGTTTCCTCATATTTCTGTCGTTTTGATCATGTTCGATTGTTGTAGATAAAGGAAGCTGTCTTAGTCGTGTTCCTTACAACTCGGTGATTGGATTCATTCTTGTGCTTGTCGGAGGTGGTGTTTTGTGTGGTACAATTTATTCTGGAATTTCACGTATTGATACATACTTTCGATTGTACTTTTTCCCCGTTTACTCGTAAGTCATTTTTTAAAAATTTTTGGTTGTAATAACAAAAAGATATTCTATTTTAAAAATATTTCTATGCTAACTTTATTTTTTCTACAGTCTGAACTTTAACTATTTCTTTTGTTGTTTCTATCAGAGGGATACGTTAATATTACATATTCGTCCGGAAGAGAACTATATCTTAGTGAAAAAGACTTACTACAAGGATTATGTAAATTTGCGGCTCATAAGCGAGTGTATATGTATACCCTCTAAAGTGGAGAGGAAATCCAAAATCATAGTTGTTTCTTAACCAGTGGTTGGACCCAACTGACTTATAGTATTGGAGCGTGATCCATGTAAACCATCAGTACCTAAACGAATTCCATGTCAGCACTTACAGCATCTGGTGTCAAATCCTAGTCTGACGATTGTCTCTGGTTCTTTAACTTAATGTTTCTCCTGGATAATCAAACCTCTTATCACACGTGTGACCGAGATTTTCTGAATACCTAGCTGCTAGGTGGTTATAAACTGAATACATTCTATGGTTATAGCCACCGATTTAATTAGTTAGCGCTATTCCAAGTCTTGCTGCATTCGAGATATTAAGATACCTACTTTCCTATGGTTTTTTAGTTTTCTGCAAAGGTAGGGACTTAATGAAATCTCTCACTAAAAGTCTACACTTTTCTTTGACACGGTTCTTACACTGATCGAAAACAATTTGAATACATATGATCACGATTTTGTAGAGTTGCAATTCACATTGTAAGATTACGCTTTTTAACTGAAACGTCATAAAGCACTTAGATATTAAGAAGTTATTGAGGTTTAGAAGAGAACAGTTGTATTTGTTTCAAGGTTATGTTTAACTCAATGCTACTTTAGTAATCTTAAACCATCTGTAAATCCTCTTGGAGATAACTCATTGAAATCTGCTTCTGTTCTCAACTTCAGGATAGTTACAATTATCTGTTTTCAAAGTGGTATTTTGAGTTTATTTATGAGCTAGTGGCGAGTGTTGGTCAACTATTGAGCTAAAACTGATATGATATAATGTGAGTGACAAGTAGGTGCATCTCGGTCACAGTTTACCATTTGATTTCACTCGCTGTTTGCCTCCTCGAAGCATTTATACTGAGTGATAGTATAGAAATCAAACTTTTACGTATATCCAGCAAGTGAGACCTAAGATAGTAGTAGAAAGAAGTAAAACTTCGATCATTAAGCATCCAGTGATTTGTTTCTCGAATACTTAAAGACCATCGCATTTTCTTCTATGACAGTAACTGCATTACAGTAAGAAGCCTAGCGTTTGTATTACTTTTAGTGTGCAACTAGATGTTAATTGTTTGAAGAGATTAGAGTCAATACAATCTGCTACCTTGTACACATCAGCACAGTAGGAAGTGAGCCACGCTTATTGTGTGAGGGCTAATGATACTACCTAGCCGCCCCAACCTCCGTAGGTGAGGCGGGGCTCAAACCCGTGACCCAATCGTTGGAAGTCATCTCTCAAAACCGCTGAATCACCACTCCACGTTTGAAGATAAGTTGAACTATTTCTTAAAGTATTATGTCTTTCATTTGAGTCACCACTGTAAGTAAGCTGATTTCTGTCTTGGTGGTTGTCTCTCTAAACAGTTTTCTTGGTAAGTTTTGCTCAGCTGTTTTCTGTTATCGATAACCTTTATCTTCACTATATACTTAGCTTCCACTGTCTTTCACCTTTCATGATCGCGTTGAAGACTTTCATTTGGATATCTAAGATATTTTTGCCTCTCATCATGACCTCTTGTAGTTGGTAATTCACTTAAGTCTATCTCGTACTTTAGTGCATATTTATATAAAGTTGCTAGGTGGGATTATTTTTCTCTTACTATTTTTATAATTTATTCTTTGTAAAGTTTGTATCATTGCTGGTTCTAGTTGACTAGTGTTTGAATACTATTTTGGATTCTTTTCTCGTCTCTTTGTTTTGAAAATTTTAGTCTTCCCTATCTAAGAATAGCTGCAGTTGTGAATGGAGCTGTGGCTGTTTTACTTGCTTTTCTCATTCTCATTTTCTCAACACTTGTGAATAATGCTACTCGTGGTCGTATCTATCGAGGCGATCGTTACATTATGGGTGGGCGTTGTTCAGCCGCTCTGGTAAGAATTTAATACATGTTTTTATGCTTAAAAACCAGTTTGCCTATTAGAAATCTCTTTTTGTAATATAACTGACTGTTTTTGTGAATATAAATTCTAGGTGCGACTCCACGTTAAGTTTTTTTAGTTTCTGTTGTACCTTGGTCAGGTTATTTTGCTTTCAAAAAGTACAGTGGCTAATCGTAAGTAAACTCATTTAGATTTAACTATCAACATGTAAGATATGCCAGCCACAATTGTATTTTCTACAGACAATTAACAACATTCACCAAATAACATAGGTCGGAAATATATGAATAAGTGGATAGTATTAGAGAGAAATAGAGGACGCATTTATTGAACAACTTTGTTAGTTAGATATATTAATATTATGAATAACTTAATCCTAGTGAGCTATACCTGGGAAAGTGTTGGGAATTTATTGCGTCGTGAATTTTTGAGCAGTTTGTCCGGTTGAATTCACTCTATGTGATGTTGTTTCTCTGAAGTAAAACTCCTTAATTATTCTAACTGACTGAGATTAGATAGAATCGAATGAATTAGTATATCGTTTCAGTTTTGATTTGTCTTGATTGAACTTGATCGAAACAGTATATATCTTATCAACAGTGTCAGTAGAATTCTTGCGTCATCCCTGATTTAAGTGTTCTAGTGATGGGTTATTTTAGTTGGTTGAAGGCAGTCGGCAAGAAGCCCTTTACCTATGTTTCGCGCTTGTTGACACTCATCAGTAAGATGTATCTGGAACCTTGAGGGGACTGATGTTCGCTCTGAGATTTGAACCCGCGTCACATATTGTTGTAGTCCCCGACCACACTGTAACACGGTCGATAAAAATCATTCAGTAATCAGGACTAGACAACATCGGTTGCTCTCTAATGATCAGTCAATGATTACCCTATTTTTTTCTACACTGTACTAAACTGATATTGATGTACATGACCACTTTCTGAACTCATAAGTAAGGGTGAATGATTCAAAGTATGTGTTGTGTGTTAGAAAATCCCAATATTAACCAAGTTGACAGACAAATAGAGTGCAGCATTCAACTATTTTTGTGACTCAAGAAATGACTGCAACTCATTGAGTATGTGAGGATTCATTCAATAATTTAAAAACTATACTTACTACTTGACAGTTAACAACACTATTGAGCCAACCAGATTAAAAACCGTTAACCGGGTCTATAAGAGATATATGCCTAATTGATTCATAGTTACCTTATTTATCCCTGGCATCTTAGAATTTGTGTTATACGACCAAAGGTCACTATATTCAAAGGGATAGAAGGAGGAGAATGTATTGGAGTCGAGAACTTAGAATAGAGTTATTCAGTTCAGTGTTTCTACTGGACTACAAGTTTGAAATGGATAGCTAATGTGAAGAAGGCTGAATAATATACCTGTGATTATTTAAATAATTGTCGTCATTTGTGAATGGTCATAAACACAGCAAGGATTAATGAATCAGAAACAAGCTACATCACATAACAGTGCTATGAGACAACTGATTAGCAAAGGGTTGCTTAAAAATTCATGAAGTAATTCACTGAATTATATGCAATACTCATTTTAACTTCTTATAATGCCTTACGAACAGTATGTGTTCCAATTTATTCCATTAGAAAGTCTATGTCCCAATCATATTTTACGTGTAAATCGTGTCTATACCCCTATGATTCCAGTGTATACCTGCAAACATTCGAAATCTTAATTTGATATCTCTTGTTCACTATTCAAGTCGTAGAGTATGGTCATCTAACTACAGGTAATTCATAGTGTTCGAATTATTATGCATTCAATAATATTGTTTCACTGATAGGGATTGGCGATATAGGCCAACCGTCATCCAGAAACGTTAGTTACGTATTTATTTACAACCTATTGTGAATTTGGTTAGTTGTCGAGTCATAGTAACCGACTTCTTTATTTGATAACTTAACATTTACGAAGATTCTTAAACATATCATGAAAAAAGAATATTCATCGTAGATACAGTACAACTACACTAGTGCAACAGTATTTAATCGAACACACTTGATGCAAAGATAGGCTATAAAGGATAGGTAGTCTGAAAGGCATGGCGTTAGAACATAAAGATACATGGGTATTTGCGAAGTAGGATTCGTTATACTTAGCAGACAACAGTTGTAAAGGTATCTTTTTATTTGACTGTCATTCACAAATACAATATGAAATTACTTCAGTAATATATATTCACTAAAATATAAATCAGACAACTTTCAAATCATTGCGCATCTAATTGACTTCCTTTCTTGTATGTTGTACTCACAGTACAAAAAAATATATTTCATCACAAGTTGATATTCGTTAAATGCAGACTAGAGTATTGAAATACTTATTATTGGTTGACATCGACTTGTAATGAAACGACTTCCAAAATACGTCAAAAATCACTAATTCACTAAAGTAAACTGAAGTTTAAAAAATATTACTGCTTACTCTCCTAAAACTGTTTAAATATACATACTAGATATTCGTTTAGATTTTTTCAAAGAGAAAGTAAGAGTAGGGTATAGATATGATCCTTATCAAACGTTTTCCTTTCTCGGCTGTAGAGGAGTGAACTTGTCACAAGTAGTTTAATTAGTCTTAAGGTCATCGATCGATTGCAGAATATGACTTCATGATATTATATATATATATATATATATATATATATATATATATATATATATATATATATATATATATATATATACTGGTTAATGCTTTCTAAGTGTAACCTCATTTGATCATCAATAATTAAAATACGATAAGATATACGAAAAGGCTAAGTTTCGATCATAATATCCCATTTTTATCTAGTTTGTGTACTGTGATCACCGTTGAGTGTGAACAAGGAGTAAAGAAAAAGCGTTGGTTAGTCATTTTACTTCCTATATTGTAACCTGAACACTTTCTCAGGTGGTTTATGCACGTTATTCATCGTATGTTCATTTCAACTTATTAAGTGAACAGTTTAGTTTGAAGAGATCTTTATAAGCTTATGTCATGATTTGGTAAGAGTTCATAGCTAGTCTTTATTGATTAGGATACTTAAATTAATACTACATGATAAGAGACATTAAACTGTTTGAATGTATGCAATTGGGTGAATGATTACAAATAGTTATTATCTGAAATGACGCAAGTGAACCCACTAAAAGGAGTAACATTTATTGTCTTCTGATTTTTACGGATTGGGCTTCTACACGAATCTTCTAATCAATTTATAGCATACAGGTGACATAGTCCCCCTTGGTGAACAATTTAATGAAATACAGGATCTTATAGTTACTATACGATAATTTATAAGGTGTTTAGCATGAGTTTATTATCGGTCGAATCCAAAATGCTAATTTACACTTTAGCTTAGTTTAACACTACGAAGTGAACTGATTTAGCACATTGATTACTTCATGTATGTGTAGATTTGTATGTATCTTGATAGGCTGGTGGCTGACAACTTTTTGGTAGAGAAACGGATTGCATCAATTGTTGTAAACAGGAGGTGTTTCAATACATTCGGTACTTTTTCCCGAAGTATCGTTAGCGTTTCATAGGATGGGTGACTAAGTATTGTAAACAGAAGTAGAGTTAAAGCTTACGATAATGCATCACCTGAACCTCAATTTAGATGAATCCAATGTACACATATATAATCACAAGCTTCCGTTTTAAACAAAAAATGGGCTATCTTGTGGTTTAAGCTGTTAAAACTAAGCAGAAATACTGAAGTGGAAGATGGAAAAGTATTTAGAATATTAGATTATGCAAAAAGTGTGCATATTTCAGTCCAGTAGCGTTCACAGAGAAGGCATTTTCTTTAAATTTTTCCGACTCAGTTAAGACACTCATGACATATCTACTTAGTTAGGAGTTCATATCCATTCCTTTTACTTGAACCTGAATACTACAGTAAATGTAGCTCAGAGTCCAGTACTCAGACCTGTACGATTTAGACGATTCACGTCAAATTGCATAACTCAAGTAAAATGTCAACTATTTAACAATTGAAGGGTTAGATATCATGCTTCTACCACGGACTTTCCGATGTAGTAATTAAACTTTACTGATTTATAAACTTAGAGTCTTTCAAGTTCCATGTACCTTTCATATGACATGTATGATAAAAACTTTCAGATTTATTCTTGTAGTAGTTATCACTTCGTTAATCCCTAGTGGTTAACGCTACACTACTTGGTTCAAATACATGCCTTTACAATTTTGTTTCCTTTTTTTTTGTTCGTGTAGTTTATGTGCACTACTTATGTAACCATAATAGTATGGTTGATATTTTTGGCATTCCTTGTTGTCCCAACATTTTGTTGGGCAATGTTCAATTCCATTTGCACTGCTGAACTGGCTGATGTCTGGCATGGACCAGGTGCACGACGACCTGGTCCTGATGGACGTGTTGCTCCATCTTTATCCGAATTACGAGATCGAAAAGAGTATCTGGAAGATACATATACAGCTCGTCTCGCCTATTATTATCAAAATCTTAACCTTGGTTATACTCCATATCAGCCTGAATCTGGTTTCAGATCTCCTTTTGTAAACCTGCGAAATTCTCCTAACATGGCGAATTATCATACAAATCGATATTTTTCTCCTGACTTCAATTATATTTTTAATTTAACCCATTATGGTAAGTTTACTGTTCATTATATGACTTAATGCCTTTTTTTTACTGTACATTAACATCATACGGTATTGCTTCTCTGTATTTACTGCTGTAGTTAAGCTGAAACGTCAGACCAATCATGTTTTTGTTAGTCTCTGTGTGACATTGTCATTAACAGTAGAAGATATGAAGCGATTACTAGGTTTTCATCATAGATGTCTTCATAGCATTGCCCACGTTTGGTGGAATCACCTTGTGGGCAATTTTGAGATCAGGTTGTAGACCTAGAATCGACTGAGATGACTTGGACATGTGCTGCGCATCCCGAGCCACCGTCTACCCTGACATGCCATACTAGGGGAAGTTGGATTAGGTTGGAAGAGGGTTCAGTATGACCAAACCAAGACGTGGCACCATTCGATGAAATCTCTTACTGCTGGGCTGAGTCGTGTAGAAATCCCACTGAAGCCTCTTCCAACCTAATCCAACTTCCCCTAGTATGGCATGTCAGGGTAGACGGTGGCTCGGGATGCGCAGCACATGTCCAAGTCATCTCAGTCGATTCTAGGTCTACAACCTGATCTCAAAATTGCCCACAAGGTGATTCCACCAAACGTGGGCAATGCTATGAAGACATCTATGATGAAAACCTAGTAATCGCTTCACATCCACTTTTGACGATCATGTCTCAGCCGTATAGGACAGAACGGACTGTAGCATACTATATTGGTCTTTTGATAAGAAGTAGGATATCTCGCCAGTTGGTACCATAAGTTACATGAGTTGGCAGATGCCCAACGGCTCTTCTCTATCTGAACTGAGGTTTCGTCAACAACCATCCCTGTTCGTACTGATGCAACTCCCCAAGTAAGTGAAGTGGTCGACAAATTCCACCATTTCATTTCCTATCATTAAACTGGGAATAGTCGCAGACCAGTCCTGAAGTGGTCTACATGTGAATCACCGCAGTTTTATTCCTATTATATAGTGGTGCAAAGATTTTCAGTCAGCACATTGATGATGAGTCTTAGATCAACTTATTAGGTAACTTTCAATTCACCGAAATATCATCAATCACTTCTAGAGCCTTCATAGTAATACTTTTAAATTTTATCGGATCTTATGTACCTTTTATCACGAACAACTGATTTATCTTTGCTACAAAGGCTATTGAAAAAAAATCCTCTTCTGTATTATTTGTATCTAGTTTAGTTGTGTAATGTTTTGTGTTTTCCTTTAGGTATTTATATTAAACCATGGATGTACGATGAATCACTGAATTATCGTGAAGCCATTACTTCGCTTGATGAGTTTGCAAGATTTTGTGATGAAGTAAGTTGATGTAGCTGTGTTTACTGAATTCTAACGCGTATATAAAATGTTAAAAATTAATAAATACATTTAGTTTACTTTGCCATTCATTGACTGATAAATGATAAAATCAACATCAAATCTGAGACAATAATTTATAGATTCATGTCTTTCTTTTCCTTTGTGGAACTATGATTAGTCTAGGAAATTGACTTACAACTAGCTCGTCATGGGTTCCAATCCAACCACCTATAAAGGTTTGGGCAGTCAGTTATTGTCCTTAACTTCCACACAATGGATGGAGTTCATGGCCTAAGGTACGAAATCATACATTTTTACTAGGCTATGTCCTCCATTCATCCTTCTGTTTTGTGTACAAAGCAAAATGTCAGGGAGTTGATGAAAGCAATAGAATGTCATATGGTAACAGGAGAGAAAATATGGTGTCATGAAAATGAGCGATAAATAGCTTCGTTTTTTTCCGTTGTCAAGTGCTTGTAACTTGCAAAAATAGTAAGACTATGATTATGACGGGAAGTACCGCCGGTAACAGATGCTAATAAAGCGAGGATGACGATTATATTTGATAGGTGTTTCTTGACTATCGATCGTCGGGATCGTAATTCACTCAGCAATGTTGTGCATATTCTCCTAGTAGGCAAATGAGCCATACCTATTGTGCAAGGGCCAATAATACCACTACGTGGTTGCCAAAACCTCGGTAGGAGGATCCGTGTTCGGGCCTGGGACTCACTGGTTAAAAATCAGCTCCCAAAACCAATGAGCCATATTTCCATGACTATTGATCTCACCTAGCCAGTACTGATTTCAATTATTAGCAAATACATTATTCGGCCTACTATTCACCAAATCCAACCAAAAAGTGGACGCCTAATTCATACTATTAGTAGTTCATGTTGAAGATTGCTTCTGTTTTAGTACCCTTAGTCATAAGTTGTTTCTAAAACGCCTATCTTCATCCGACGTTGTGCAAGAAAAGTTTAGCTGTTAATTCACTTTGTGTTCTTCATAAAGAGGTATAGTTAAAGTCTTTATTAAACGAAAGAGTAGGAGTGTGTTATAAATAATCTTCTGTAAATGCAGTTTAAGGATAAAAAGTTGGTAAGAGTATCTCTGCAACTTCCTCTGAATTAAGTAAAATAAGAGGATTCATTTAAATCATCTTCGAACATTTTCGAATCGCAAACAATCTACATGTAAACCGATGCAGAATTCGTTTAGGCCGAAATTCCCACGGCTTATTGAATCCTCTGAATATTTTGGACAAAACATGGAAATATTGGAGATAAATTTCGCATCTATCAGCTAAAAAAATAGATTCCAGCACTGGCAAGCTCTATTATCTCATTGAGTGTTATGAAGTTATATAATTGCTTAGTTAGTTGCAATAACTCTGATTAATAAGTCTCTGACAGGTTATTATGCTGATGATTATCAGTCTTAGATGTATTTCAGCGTAAGTATTTTATAGGCGTAACTTATGTATGGAGGAATCACATCATAGGTGAAGTTGGGATTAGGTACATGGATTTAGACAACAAAAGTGAGTTAATTAATGAATTTGAACTAACCGATATGTATGAAACGTATGTTACGCCCACTAAACCACTGTTTACCTTCATGAAATTTGTTTTATTGGAGTGGAGTTGGTTGGGGAATTAGTCAGGATTAGTCAAATCGAGATGGTTGTTCATAAGTGAATGAATTGATCTGAGTTATGTAGATAAAAGGGTAAGTTGTCTGGGATCCCTAAAATGTTAGGGATTGGGAGTTCGAAAACTCCTGTTGATAATATTCAATCACAATGATGCAAACGTGTTTTCTCCTGATTCTTTGTAAACTTTCAGTTGGGATATTTGTGTTTGTATTCTAGTTCAGGTATTTTCTTGTGTTTTAATTACTTAACAGCGTAGCTGATAGCTTCAGTCTCTGTAATCGTATCCTAAGACGTGAATAATCCCTCTCCCCCCCCAATATTTTCAATATCCGGTACATCTGTGGTTTACGCTACTTCTACGAACACATGTAATTAGTATATAGCAGGGTGTAGAGCTATCATCCAAGTAGTAGAAGTTTTGAAGGGGTAAACCAGAAACATAAGATGAGTGATGAAGCAATAGAGAGGGAAGACCAACTTCTTTCGGATGTAGAATGCACAAACTATTTGCATGTACTGTGTTTACTGTAAAGTTTCAATATTTTTGCTAAAACTCGTTACAATTCCTCACTTAACAATACTACTAACCCTTATCTGTGTTCTTATTACATATATAATACACACTACAGATTAGTCACATGGTTTACCATCTCAACCTTCGTTCAGAAAAAGATGAAGACTTACGCGCTATTCCTACAGTAATGGCAATCTAACCTCTGCATATATGCATATCAGTTCACTGACAATGTGTATTGAGTTGCAATGTTGATTTGTGATTTTAGCCAGGAAACAGAATCATGTATGCTAATTGACATTTGTTAACAAACAGATATCTGGGAACTCTAAATTGTATATGAGTAAATAAGGAGGCGGTCATCAAAAAACTTCTGTGCTAGGCTATACAGTTATAACTTCTATATGAAGCTTTTTAAGAAAGAAATTAGATGGTCCAACCGGTTACACTCATCTCAGCCTTCGAGTTTCGTTTCTTCGGGTTGTTGTCACAGTTTTACTTTGTATAAGGTAACTAGGCGTATTTCCTTCTTTATAAATAACCCTGTGAATGTATATGATGGTTTCTTGGATTATTTCTATCTTCATCTATACTGAATCGAATATAAGCTATGGTATTTTTGAGATGAATGGGGATTTTTAATTTGGTGGTAGTATTCATCACGAACCATTGAAAATATGGGAGCACTGGTTAACGCGTTCGCCATGAAACCCGAAGGTCCTGAGTTCGATCCCTAACTAGGTACGTACTGCCCAGGAGTCCCATACTAGGACGAAACAGCTATCCAGTGCTCCCAAATTTTCAATGGTTTCCCAACTGATGTCAGTCCCGTGATCAGCTATGGTAGTTCAAGAGTCTGATCGTTTTTCTTGTAGATTTAGAACAGATTCACTTTGTAAATTTGGAAATTGTTGTCTTTTTCCATTTACATTATTTTTTGCATTCCAGTCGAGTTGATAGTAGTATGCTGATTGGATCACTGAATAATATTGCATAGTAGTAGTAGTAGTGTAGTGGGCGTTGCTGATAAGACTGGATATAAGTAGTATATGTTGAGAGTTCGGCAGAAATCATGGGGAATTACCAGCAATGGGTAAGGATCCTGCCCAGATAAACGTGAGATTCAACGCGGGCGTATTGAGAGCAAATCAAGAGAGAAGCAGAAAAGGAAATAAAGCACATTATGCAGATGACTGTCTTAGTGCAAGGTGTACCATATTTAAAGACTACTGTACCACGTGTTAATAATAAACATTCCTTCCTTCGTCTCCGTCATCTCGTGTCCTTCAGTAGTAGTCTCTCTTATTACTGTTTCCACGTAATCACGAATCAGGCAAGATTCTAAACATATGATACTCATTTGTATGTCAGCTTGCGTATATGTATATTCGATAGCATTTACCTCTGCCTCAATCATCAACTGTTACATGGAAAACTCTCTGCTTAATTATAAGAACAGAATTGTAGAAGAAACTATGTTTCTTTGCACGTACAATTTCAGGTTGATCGGTTGATTAGGATAGTCCTTCAACTTACAGGATTGATGGATAAAATTCCCTCTAGAGTTTACATTTCTACGTCTACAAAGGCTTCATTAAAATCAGTTAGAATCCAAGCATCTTATTCCTTTTTCTCCAATGACAAAGTGAATGTGTGTAGGTCTTGTACAACTTGCTTGTACTGTGATATATGGAAACCATATTGTTTAGAGTGAAACTTATGGTTACTAATGAGTAGCAAATGAATGTGCAGCCTTAACTAATATTTATTTTACCCTAAATTACCTGCATGATTAGTATTTAAGTTTACGTCCCAATGTAGCACATTGCATGGAAAAAATCGTCTGGTGTTGTGTTATAAAAACTGCTGTTTGCTGTATACTAATGCCAACCGAAGAAGGGAGTAGACTAAAAGCATATGACAATCGGTTCATTTATTACAAGAATGTGTGTGAATAAATGTTTAGAAGTTTGGTAAATAATTCTTCTTCCATCGTGCACACACACACACACACACACAACCAAACATATAAAGTCACACAATATTCGATAGTCAGAATCACTTATGGGCTTCTGGAAGACATGGATACAGCAAATTCTTGGTTGTGATTGATTTTTCCTTTGACATATGACACTCATTGGATGGACACCTTGTTTGTTTGTTTCAGTGGTTCTTACTTTTGATTTTTAAGCAGTTGGTTCTGGGTTCAGGTTCCTCTCCACCTACTTTGTCCTAAGTGACCAAGTAGCTTCATAAGTCTTCTTACAATAAGTGAGTAGTCTAGATGATATGGCTCAGAATCGATTGCAGTAGCCCACATGCGTCTACGCTTTATCTTCATTTTAACTGTTAAATCACTCTTCTTCATTTGCTTTATCTTTATTTTGTTCTGCGGTGTATATATGAACTATATAAAGTTAGGACGTGATATGATTAACGATAGAACAATGACTTCTCAGCATGAAACTCAGCTGACACCAGAAGGCGAGGGGATTGAAGGTATATATACTTCAATCGAATAGTGCGATTATAGCTGGAAGTTCAGTCATTGGAGCGAAAAGACGCGAAAATAAGGTTTAATTTTTGCAACCAAAATAACATAAGTTATTTTTTGGGGATGAGATATCCCTAACAATCTTCTTTTCGTCCTGTGACTTTTCTACGTCTTTTCATTATATCACTTGCATTCCCTTCTCTTTCATTTTTTTGCCTTGTATTTTAATGTACTGATATTGAACTATAGCATATTTGACCACTATACAGTGATGCCATATCCCATGTTGATATCACGAAATACTTTTCGCCTCACACTTTGCGTCATTTAGTAATTCACTCATCTTTCCTAGCCGTGTTTTTCAGTTGACTCAAGATGTTTAGCCAATTTTCCACTATACATCATTATTTTGTCTTGAACGGAGTTTAGCCTATCCCTTTAACTCGTTCCAGGTATGAATTAAAAGCCTGTAATCATAACGGTATTCGAGATTAGCAGAACACTGTCAGCCACACGTCATTGACTTTTAGGTGGGAGCTGAAAATAAACCATGTGGACATAATAATATTCACATTTCGGTCACGTGAAGTACTTGCGAAGTGATTTTGTTTCACTCAACAGTGCGATTACAGCAGACATTATGCTAGTCTCTCTCTATGTACTTGCTTGGATCAGGAAGAAAAACCGCGAATCGCAAATCATATCCGACATTCTAAACACTATTCAGCATTTTGCTCCCAAAGATTGTCTGAATGTCTTACCATTTCATCCATCCATTTATTTATTCACAGAAAATAGTGACATGTAATATTACTACTTTTCTGCGCGTAGTAGTTTTATGGTTTAGTAACACGATATTGACGTAATCATTCAATTGTTTGTTCATTTGACTCCTGTTCATAAAGATGAAATTCGCAGTTTCAATGTACATAATCCATCACTGGAATTTATTTAAGTGTGATATATTCAGAACGAATCCACTTTCTTCCTTTCCATCTAGGTCATGATTGTCGGTCCACTGTTCGCTTGTTCTCTCGGCGGTGCTGTATTCGTTCTACTTGGTTTGGTACGTTGGTATTTAGCTTTTCACATGCTGTGCATACACTTTGATATGAAAATGTAGAGTTTGCATATATTAGTGACTATAATTATCGAATAGGAAGATTTTAAATTTCACTGCATTTTGACAACTTATGGAGTCTGGGTAGTTTGAGTGATATTAATCAAGTGGATGTATGTAAATGCTCTACCGCTACTCGAACGTTTGTAATACATATATAGCGACCAAGATCCCAACATAGCAACTAATCTGATTTGGCAATTGAAACAACTGTAAGCCCTAAATTCTCTGATGAAAATTGGTACTGGTTTTAGGAGAGACGTATTTCGTGATTTATTAATGTAGGGGATAGTAAATTAGCGTTGAATATATATATATATATATATATATATATATATATATATATATATATATATATATATATATATATATATATATATATAATCAAATCCTTTTTCCTGCGATTTGAAGGCTCAGTTAACTTACTGTGATTTAAGAGCATTATTCTTCATAAGTAAATATACTTCATATGCCAACTGGGAGGTGGAATTGCAACCAATACTTTGCGAATGAATAAACGACATAAAACATGATTCAGTAGCTGAAGACGTTTTAACAACTATAAAAATAAGTGAAATATGCATACAGCGTACTAAAAATACGCGAATTTCCACACAGAATGCTATATCCTATAACAAGCACGATAACACCTAGGGATAACTTTTAGCCTCACCTATTTTGGAATTAAAGTTAGTTGAATTTACTCGTTAAATCATGGGATTAGAATTTGACGGTACGCTCTTTTCTCGCCAAATATTTTAAGGCGATCAGTTGATGGTTTGAGACTCACTCTTTGTTTTTGTTAACACAAATAGTTTTGATGAGTTAACACATAATTTATTGATAAATAGAATCAGCGTTATGAAGTTATTTTTCTCATTTGACAATTTCACCTTTGTATCGGTTGTAAGTACGAATTACTTACCTCATATAAGCGCATATAATAAGCTATGAACCAAATTTACCACGTAGAAACTTAAATTTCTTAAATTATTTCAGTCCAGATACCTGGACTAATTTAATTTTAATATAAATCACCCTGGAACAAGATCCGGATTTTCAACACCAACGTCAAGTCAGTGCTTCTATATGGTTCAGAGACTTGGCGCGTCATGAAAGGCATTTCCAATAAACTACAGACATTCATCAACAACTGCCTACGCTGGCTCGCTACTGAAGATCAGATGGCCAGAAAGAATAAGCAACAAGGAGCTCTGGGAACAAAGCAACCAAGAAGCTATCGCTGAACAAATATACAGTGGAAGGAAGTGGAGATGGATTGGGCATGCACTGAGAAGGCCGACTGAGGACATCACGCGCCAAGCCCTCGAGTGGGATCCCCATGGGAAGCGACGAGTTGGACGTCCGAGGTGAGGGTGACATGGAGGAGGTCGTGCGAGGAGGAAATGAGAGGTAGTGGGCTGTCGTGGAGCCAGGTTCAAAAGATTTCAGAGAACATAGTAGAATGGAGACGTGCTACTGAAGCGGTATGTTCCATTAGATACCCAAGGGACTAATAATAATATTAATAATACCCTGGTACTGATGTTAATGTACTAGACTGTTAGTCACACTTGTTGTTTTAGTGATTAGAGTACGTCATTGGTCACTCAGGGTAAAGTAGGTAAAACAGTTTGATCTTGGGATCCGGTGGTCAAAAGTCAATTGCTTAGGCTGGTGAATAATATTGGCTAGACTATCGCAGTCATTTTTATTTAAGTCTAAATATCTACAGTTGAATAAGTGAATAATAGCAATGAATTATTATCTGAAAAATATTCTTCTACTTGTAAATTTTTTTTTAACATTGTTTTTTCACACTAGACATTATTTATTGGCTCATTGTCAGCCTACTATACTCGATTAAAGTTGACAAAAGAATTGACCGATTTCAAACAGAGTATCGCATTACGATCACCGAAGAACCATGATCACACAGCTTATTTTTGAGACAGTAAATTTCTATCGAAATCTCGGTGTTGTTTAGATAAAACAGGTGTCAATTTGTTGTTCCACAAGAAAGATCATCAGTGAAGTTGTTTCTCTGTTTCTGTTGTAACGACAACAACAGTTGAGGGGAAAAAAAGATGAATATATATATATATATGATGATGATGATGATGATCCACATACATATTTTTTGAGTTTATTTTTAGAATTGTATGTATAATACAACTGTTACTTTTCTCAACAGTATATTGTTATTTTTCTGTTCCTTGTGTTTCGCTTTTCATCTTATGCTTTTATTTTACGGTTTTTACTGCTATGTTGTTTGTGTATATGTGCGTCTGTATGGAAAAGAGATTACTGTTCCGTTAAATACATGGATTCAGTCAGTAATCATTATTCCAATAATAACGGATGTTACAATTGTGAATATTGTGTATGCACTGCCGATACTTTGCTTCACAGTACTCACTCTCGTTATATGTCTCGTATATATTCCACTCTCTATTCAATATCGTATTTATTATAGGATATTCGACTTATTTTTTTGTATACTATTTGAATTTTAACAAATGGTAACTATGATCTTGGGATATCTGGTTAGTAGTTTAAGTGTGTACTTATTCTGTTTGCATTCTGTTATCTCTGTCACTATTATTATTATTATTATTATTGTTATTATTATTATTATTATTATTATTATTATTATTATTATTATTATTATTATTGTTAAGATGGAAATATTTACACACATATGACAATGATAAATGTGAACACTGATTCAGTTGGTCCTGCTGATTCATACACCCACTCTCTTATTACTCATGTATACTAATATGAACAAGACAGGCAATAGAAACTGTTTTCACAAATAATATAAAATATTTTTGTATATTTAATTTGCATTTTAGTGTTATCCTGTGTGTTTGTTTTCGACTTTTATTTTCACCTATCATTAGTCAGTATTATTGTCATGTTTACAGTTTTTAAAACTTTATTCCAAATCATTTTTCATTATTATTTGTTTAGAAGTAACAGTGTTTTCCTTCAATTGACTGATGTCGCTATTGATGTTTACTGATGAACTGCTAGTCTATGAGTAGTATATTTGCCAGTTTATTTGAGAAGTGGTTAGTTAATAGATGGTTGAAGATGCATAAAGCCATCAACATAAATTCATAATACTTCATCATATCTATCTTATTTTCTTGTGATTATGTTTATTTTAAGAAATGAGTATGGATATTGTTCACTGGAGTATGATGATCTCATTGTTAGTGTATATTATTATGTCTATTTCTTGTTCTCTCTGTATGTTTTCCAGTGTATGATTTGAATGCGACATTTTTTTTCTCTTGGTTTTTCCTCTTTTTGATGTGAGGGTCTATTTTCGAATTCGAAAGTCATGATATATTTCAGTATTCTGCAATTATTACAATTTTGATTATTTCGGATTGAAATTTTTTTTCTCGTTCTGCATTATATACTTACTTAAAGTATTGGCATAAAAAATCTACTGCATTTGTGGTGTACTTTTCTTGGTTTTGTTTTCAAATATAAGGAAATGAATTATTTTACTATTTTTGTCTTTTTCTTCACAATGTTTTCTCATAATTCAACCACTGTTTGGCACCATCAGTCAGTAGTCGTCTAGAAATTTCAGTCTCTACTCGAACACTTATGGGCGTGTTAGAGCCTATGGTGAGATGTCCGGGGAGCTGCGCTCGTCGAACGGTCTCCGTCAAGGTTGCTCACTATCTCCATTCTTATCGACTTTTACTACACACATCCTTATGGAGGTCTTCCTCTCTTCATCAGGTTATGCAGACATTGACCTAATCACAGGAGAATTTTCGTTAGACCTAGAATATGCAGATGACATGACATAGTCCTGTTAAGTGAAGACTCTGACAGGATGCAGAGTCTTCTGAACACTTTGAGTGGGAATTTCAGTATGGTTGGGATGCGGTTCTCACCACCCAAATGCAAATTGTTGCTCCAGAACTGGTCTTCAGCGGTACCACGGCTAACAGTAGAGAGCGAAGTGGTTGAGTGTGCCGACCACTTCACTTACCTAAGAAGTAGGATCAGCCCTGGTGGGTCAGTGGCCGATGAAATCTCTGCACGGATATGAAAGGCTCAGGTGGCTTTTGCTAAATTACGCCAACTGTGGCGCCGCCATGATATCCGTTTGTCTATTAAGGGTCACATGTACTGCACACCAGTCCGCTGTGTTCTACTGTATGGCTGTGAAACATGGCCATTGAAGGTGGAAGATATGAGAAGACTTCAAGTGTTTGACCACCGTTGCCTTCGTAGTATAGGCCGTATTCCGTGGTGTCACGATGTGAGTAATGTAGAAGTGAGGTGTAGAGTTTTAGGGAGAAGAGGTAAGTCAGTTGACACGGTTGTGAACCCTCATCGACTGAGATGGTTAGTATATGTGTTATGTATGCCTAGTCACACAATGTTGGTCGAAATAGGTTCAGGCGGGAAAAAGATCAGAGGTGGCTAGACATGGCATCAGTGTATGAAGTCTTTGACTGTTGGTTTGAGCCATGTAGGGCAATGCAGACCAGCCGGTTGTGATTGGCGGGATGAGAGGAACCAGTGGTTGGAGACTGTAGGAGATATGGCTCAGAACCGATGTCAGTGGAGCAGATGTATACACACATTATCCTCATCTTAACGACGCTATATCGGATCTCACCATTTCCTCATTTTTCCTTTCTCTCTTTTAGTACTTAATACTTCTTTTGAGTGAATTTTCTTTTCCGCATCCTCCACTTCACTGCCTTTTTACTTGATGCACTGATATGAGCTATGGTAACTGGGACCATTACGCAGTAATACCGAGTCTGATATTGATTTGGATGGATGGACGGACTAAATAATTCCTCATTGAGTATTGTAAGGAATTCCTGGCGTGTTTTATCCATTAAGAGTGGAGAAGGAAAATGAAATGCAGATGATGAATGTAACATTTGATTTTTGAGCTAAATGAAGTGCAGTTCCAAGGGAATTTTATGAGTCAAGTGGCTTGATTATCAATGCCATAGTTTCTAGTTAAACTGCATCTTCTAGCTAGTTAGTGAATCTGAGAACGTTGTAAACTAGAGTTATAGGTCAGAAGATTTGAATGTTATTGAAAAGTATTTAAATAATATTTCTGGAGAGCATCTCTACCCTAAGCTTCAAAAATAATTCATGAACTGATGAGTCACTGATAAATTGGAAATCAGTAAATGAATAAGTAAGTTACTAGCTTCTTGTGGTAATGTAGGCACAGTTCTGTCAGATGATACAATGTAGTCGTAATCAGAATAGATCTTAAAAATATATTATGATGAACAATTTCATAGGTATAGTCAGGTGACACAAGAAGATTCAAACCAACAGTTGCTAACTGACATGCTAGACTCAACTGATGATGAGGCCTCAATTCATTCATCAAGGGTTGCACCCAACTGTTGTATGAATCAGTGGTGTTTAATCTTCCTTTCATCGTCATTACACTAGTTGTCCACCGAGATCTTTTCTTTTGAATTGGTTTGAATAAGAAAAGTACTTCGAGTGGTTTTCTCTTTTGATTGTTAACCACCAGTTGATATTTCCGGATCCGATAATGTGCATCTGTGATCACAGACACTATGAGTGGTTGCTTGTTGATGAGACTGCCTAAGCTGACAGAAGGTTGCTGTTCTAAATCCTGCTGCTATCCAGCTAAGCCGTTAAATTCGATCATCTCCCGAATACATTAAGACCAGGCTACTTCAGACTGTTAACAACAAATTCGTAAGTGTTCTTCTTAGGTATGTGGTGTGTTACGTTATAATTCTTACATGACATGATATCATCTGCTACACACTTATTTCTTACTGTTGCTACTTTCATTCAATGGGTAAGTGGAAAAACTGAAGTTAACTTTGACTGTTACTAGACATAAGAGTAGTACATACAACATGAAACGCATCTTAACTAAAAAACCTTAGGGATGTTTTGCACTACCTACGAACGAATGTGAATTTGATGAACACGAGTCATTATTTTAACGAATTTGGATTATATGAATACTGTGGGTACTTTGCTGAGTGAACATAATAAGCTTCAGAAGCTACTGACCAATGCTGATCTTACGCAAAGACAGGAAAACAGCTGAAGCACTAAAATGGTTGAAGCAGAAAGATTTTGTCTCTTACCAAACATTAACTTTGACGTGCGGAAATATGATGTAGAGGTGGTGAATGCAAACCTCTTTGGTAGGTTCTATGAACAGATGATTGTGTGAGAACAGTTCTAGGGGATGAGACAAATCACGTCGCCACTGACCGTACCAATTTATTTGAGCGACAATATTGTTATGTCATAATGTTAGGATCCAATCAACAAGAAGCTTTTGACCTAGGTTTTATGCTTGTTAGCACTGAAGAGCAAGGTTTATTTGGAACATCGAATGAACTTTTGCTTTCAGCGGTTTGGACTTCCATCATTCAGTATAAAGTTCTGACATGTTACCACTAAGGTATTCAAACCACAACTGACCTCTGGATTTAATACATGAAATAGTGACCGGATGATATAAGTGCTGATAGAAGTCTGTCGATTAGGCCTCCAGTATGACAGTATGCACTAAAGTTTATCAAACTCGTGGATTTTCTTGAAACCACCTAGACCCTTAAAACCATCTTGTTTACCTAAACCTCCTAATAGTACACCCAGTGGGATTATTATTGAGTATGTACGTAATAGTAATCAGGATTTAACTTTGTCTTTATTCTCAGCTACTGCATCTTAGATAGCTTTAATTTCGAAGGCTCATCGTAATGTGAGGCAATTACGCCTGAATTATGAGCAAAACATGGGAGTAGCAATATAAACTTGTAGGAAACTAAGTGACACGGAGCGTCGTTGGCTGTGAAACACAACCCGACTATTACTAAGGTCTCAGTTCCACCTACAGAGATTTTCAACCGGCCACTATGTATTGAAACTAGTGGTACTTA